ATATTTATTATTGTTGACATAATTAGTTTGCTTGAATTATTGTGTAATAAGACTGAATAAGTTTTGTCCGTTTGGTTTGACTTAATTGACGTACACTAGTTTGTTTATTTCAGCTGTCAGTTGAAAAAAGCACTTGCAATACAAATTGACATACCTATTAATAACCATCAATTGTGAAAACTTTTTCAGGTTACGTTAATATATATATATATATATATATATATATATATATATAATTCATTTACCTACTCTGAATATCATTGAATCGGATTTGCATCAGTTAAACACTATTGAGGAAGGTAAGTTAATTAGAATGGAAATCTTCAGTAATTAAAATGACTAAGATTCGTAGCATCTCCAATTAATAAAACCCCTTGTGAAACATGTCATGATTTGAATAATTCAAATAACAATTCCAAATCGACCAAAATATTATGAGTTCAATCTTACACATCTTATTAGTATATTTTATTAATTTCTATTGACTTATATTTATATTTTTTCTATTTATTTTGATAATTTTTTCTCTATTGTCACATGGTATTTAGCCAATATTTTATTGTTCAAAATTCAACATTCTTGTGTTCGTCTTTATGTGTGTTAGTTTTAAGAATTTTTGTAACATGACGACAAACTCTTATTATGAAAGTTATTCGTATGAACGAATGTTAGAACGACTTACTTCAATCGAGTATGTCTGAGTTCATTGTTAGTTTATTATTGTTATTATTATTATTATTACTGCTAGTAGTGTAAGTATTACTATTATTCAGCACATAAGAAGTAACAAGCTTATTTTTTGTTCAATATTTATTGAGACTTTATTATTTCTTTTTTCTTGTTTTTCACTTAAGTTTGTTAATACACATACATTTTATGTGAAATATGTTGATAAAGTGGTCTACACGACATAATTTTACTTATATACGTATGTATTTGTGCGAAAATAAATTATATTAAGAAAAGATTAATTTTTGAATCTTTGTTTCATAAAAATTTCATCGATTTTCTATTGCATTTATCTATTCGATTCATTTACTAAGTACGAATTCGTGTACTTGACTTTTAGTCACATTCTAGATGTAACAGATAGTGATATTACGCGGTTACGCATATCAATGTAGATGGAATAGAGTTCGAACCTATGATTTATTAGCCAGAACTCAAACACCTTAATCATTGAGCTAACAATTCGTTTGGTTTTGTTATTTGTTACATGGGAAAAGTAGTCAGTGTTTTACAACAGATCAGTAACTTTCTCTTAGAATATTGTGCAAAAACGTATGTAGTTAAATTTTATACACATATGCATCCACCAATTAATTATAGGTTTTAATGTAACGTTCCATAGTTTTGCATCTGACCTTAAGAATTAATGTCATAGAGTTTAACCAGTAACGTTGATGTGAACGATTGTATTTGAAAGAGAGAAAGGAATAAAGAAAACATTAGCCGGTAGCTCAATAGACACAAAATGTACTTATATCTAGTACCGTGCTACAATTGACTAAGTGCAGTGATTTGCAAGCGTAAATTCAAGATTATCTGTCTTGTTGTAGAAACCTGAAATGAATAGAGTAATGTTTCAAATTTGTTAAAATATTACTGTGATGTTAACGAGTTCAATAAACAGTTGGTTTTTTCGTTTCACAATAATCTTACGAAAAAATTGTAATAAACATAAGTTTAACCCTGAAAATAATTTTCGATAATGCAATGAGAAGACGAAGATTATCAGAACTATGTGATATATTAGCGCAATACATTTCGAACAATCTGATCACACATATACTTGTTAAGAACATTTATATATAAAAATAAAAGGTCAACTAGACTGGAAATAGGGGTAAGAATAGACAAGGATAATAATGATAAAATAATGTGAAAACAATTTGACACCTAATCACTCTGGATAATAAGCTTATATTACCAGGGTTTTCACATTATTTTATCATTATTATCCTTGTCTATTCTTACCCCTATTTCCAGTCTAGTTGACCTTTTATTTTTATATATAAATGTTCTTAACAAGTATATGTGTGATCAGATTGTTCGAAATGTATTGCGCTAATATATCACATAGTTCTGATAATCTTCGTCTTCTCATTGCATTATCGAAATTTATCAAAGGGACTAATTGCTTTAAATTTCCTGAAAATAATATTTTACGGTCAGATCACGTGAATTTACTCGGCTGAATGATAATCGAACTTTTATTCTGGAAAAAATCAAACCCAATGTCATTATATTTTCTTTTCAAATAGAGTTTTTGTTAGAAATAAATTTGTTATTCTATCTATGTGTTTGTCCTTTATCAATCTTTGTTTGGCATAAAAGTGTCCTAAAAATTTGATAAGCAGAAATTGTTTTTAAAAAAAACAATATGAATTACAAACCACTTATGTAAATTTTTTTCAGTGTATGTTTCTTCATGAAATCAATGCCAACAAACTGCTTGAACAATAAGTATGTACTTATTTATGAATAATTTCAGTGGTGACTGTTGATTGTGTCGAAAGTTTATAATTACGTTTTATTTTTCTGAGTAAAGACAAAATAACAAATGAGGCTGAATAATATGAATTCATTATATTTTGCGGTTTCTCATCAGCCGCATACAACTATATATGTATTGAAATGTAACATTAAGGTAAGATATAATGTGAAAGAACAGGTGTATGATCATTTGGAGATCTAGTTCCAAAAGCGTAGAAAGGAGGTGGATAAGCCAGAATAATCAATTGTTTCACATCCCATCTTACGAAATATAATGAGCTCACATTATTAAGCCTCAGTTGTTGTTTTGGACTTATTCAAATGGAACCAATTGCACGAAATTTCTGAAGAAGTTGAAGGTGCGAGAAAAGGATAGTATAGTATGGTATAATTTTGGTTCCGATTACAGATACTAATTTAAAAAAAACTCGACTTTCATTCCTTCGCAGACTATTAATACTTTTGAAGCACTGCTCAATTTTGGTGTAATCATCAAAAAATAAGCAGTGCTGTTGTCAGACTTAGTTATTTAATAAATCGATTGTCCATGTTGTCATTCTGTATCATCTTTCTAAATCTTGAATTTTTATGTTAGTGCATATTTCTGATTTATTATTTTCATTCCTACCTCTTTGATTTTTATCTTCCATGATTAGTTTTCTCTACTATCTGTCTTATTATTCCGATTTCTTTTCTCCTATTTGTGGTGAGTAAAGTTTTGCAACTTAAAATGAAGCATATTTTTATATGGTCACGTGCTTTGTACATAACTTTGATTTCTAACGTAATTTAGGATTTTATTACTGTTGCTGATAAAACTTATACATTTTAATTCATTTGGTACTTAGTCTTTAAGTGTTATTTCAGCTATTTGTACTCGAACTGTCATGGAGAGGTGTTTAATGATTTGATGGGATGAGATTTTCGTTTGTTAAAATCAATCTATATAATGCAAACCGATAAATGAACACAACAATACGATATTGCCGAGTAATTGCTACTCGAGAGACTGTATTATTGACTTAATGTCCATGAATGATTAGAACTCAAAGACAAGATCACTAGACATGTGGATAGTTCTTCATGTAATAAAATAACACACTTACCTACAGAATAAAAACACACACAACCATAGTCAATTAGAGGAATTCAGCTTGTTGGTCACTCATTACCCAATCAATTAAGAGTTTACTGTCAGACCTCATTTTGGTGCATCGTTTCGTAAATTGACAATTAATTATTCAGCCTTTATTCAAATTACATCAAATTGTTTTACAATGAATTCCTCTACTCAAATCTTGTCCGATGGAACTCTGTAAATCTTTTTTTCCGGTTATACATTCCCCTACATAAAAAATGTTTGAAACTGGCGAAGAGCGTTAAACTCCGATTATTTACTTATTCCATTAGTATAAATGTAGTAATTTAAACAACTATAACTTTCAAAGTGTTTGTTTTCTCTTGAAAAATAAATGCAACTCAATAGCGAAGTATAAATTCATATGATCCCGTTTTTTGAGCAAAACGTTTTGTGTGTTCTTATTTAAACTAATATTAATGTAGTTGGTAAAACTATTTTACTGTCGGGCATTGAGGTTTAACATGACGACCCTCGGAATTTTGCCTGAGATTTAGAACATAGTGATGAATAGTGTGTATTTCATCAAAGTCTAAGCAAATACAACCAATATTTAGGTAATAAAATGATTAAAGCGGACAAACACGGGAAAGCGCAAGGGTAACGTTCCATGATCCATACATTTTTTAAGTTAACCTGTACGGTTTCTAATATTTAAGGTCAAAGAACTAACTTTATCAATATTCATCCATACTATGAATTTGCCTGCTCGACTTTTTATTATTACTCCTATCTTTTAACGCCTTATTCTAACTGTAATTTCTAAGCCTAGCTCTGACTCCTAATCCTACCCCTAACTCATAAACTTTCTGGGTGTGTTTTCTCATCAGGATTTTTATTGTTTAAAAGTCGACATTTCTTTCCCAAGGTTACTTCACTAATCTTTAAAGACTGTTCTTATGCTGTAATTTCATTGTGCAGTAGTAACGTCCGAACTTTCAGCTTAGCTTTGTGAATCGTTAAGTTTACGCTAATCATTAAAATACCCATCTATTGTACTGCACATCTTAAAGCGCAAATTAGCTTGTGTTTTCTCTGTGAATTCTTTAGGATTGGTAACTCTGAAATAAAAACTGGAAGATTTTGCATTGTACCAATTTTTAACTGTTTACAGGGATATATTAAAAAAAACTATGAAAAAATACAGTATTAAAAGCAGTAACAGTAAAAAGTCAGTTCTAAATTTAAATTCATGAAATCCACAAGCCTTCATATACATTGAATATATGTGTATATATCACTGCAATGTACACCATTCGTTTGTATACACCAAGTTCAATATTTTGTGAAGTTATCTTTTTTAAACTTGAATGTAATTTTGTATAAGATTTATAAATGCTTTCGTCTATTCCTTCTTTATTAATAGATCTATGGAGTTGCTTTCAGTCCAACGGGACAATTTTTTGTTACAGTTGGTGTACGTTATGTTCGTTTTTGGTATTTAGAAAATAAACGTAATAAAGTAAGTGTTCTTGTGTAATTTTGTTTTTTGGTCACTATATATACTTTCGTATAAATTGCTTAACAATGGTATTATTAAAAAAAACATTGTCAGTTGAACGTAAATAATCAGAAGTAAACCGGCATTATTTTGAAAAAACTTTATTTGAGAAATTGTTATTTCAATGTTACCTTTTAGAGAATTTCAATTGTTTAATTTATTAACTGATGTACCAAGCATAGATTTATGTATTGAGCGTTGAGCTACTTTTTAATTAGAGATTGTCGGTTATCTGAACCCCGAACTAGATAGTTGTAGATTCCTACCTGTAACCTACCTGATGGAGAGCCACACATTTTTGTAATTAAACTACCGTTTCACTTGAACATTTTGATGATCTTTCATGATAACTCATTCCTTAGAAACTTCGTGTTAATATTTCAAATCGACTAAGCTTATTAACTTGTATTTAACTGAAGAGAAAGCAACAATATTTAATTAATTCATTGTAGTCTAGATATATCGTGGATCTTGTTTTATTTCACATTTGTAAAGGGCACTAATTACACGAAAAATATTGACTTACCAATTATATAATTATGGATTTTTTGAATTATTGGAAATAATTTTCATTCACTAACATTACATGAATACTGATCTCCTTGAAGAATCTTAAACTAAACTACCATACAACCGAACCAAAGATTTAGTGAACACCTCCCTTTGTGGTTAGGAAAAGGCACTGTCAAAACAATACGCAGCTCTGTTCTATCACACTTGATCGATAGCGGTCATGTAGTAAACAGTATTGGGTTATTTAAAGTTATTCATCATATTCGTACTCGTTTTCCTTATGAGGTTCAATCTCGTCTCTTACATATGTCAGAAGCTATGGGAATTCGAGCTAACAATCCAAGTCTTTATCTTCATAAGAAATTTGTAACACCTTAATCTCTCCCTTGGTCGTAACAAATGATTTTATTTATTATTATTTTTCTTTTTTTTTCACCCTCCCCCACCCTTTTCTCAAATATATGTTTCACGGTCCAATAATCCGAAAACTTCCTATTACGTAATCTTACACTTCTTTCGAATGTTATTTCAGTGTCTATATTTTCTAATCATTGACCTGTTTCCCATTATGAAACATTGATTCGAGGCTTTATTATTCTTACCACAACTAGTACGCCTGTCATCATACTGCCAATTTGTATTTTTCACTTTTTATACTTATTTATGTAATCTAGACCACTGTTATCATTGACTGCAGATAAGACAAAAAACCTATAGTCTCCATCACGATGATCATACTTTACTTTTAAATTTTTGGGCTGAAGTTCGAACATCTCCATTTGTTATCCATATGCGTCTGTCGTAGAAATATATCGTTTAAATAAACATAGTGTCTTCATTAAACGAGTATTACAGCAAATAAAATGAAATGTGAGATGATATGTACGAAGATGGGGGTAAATCAACACTCATTATAATCTCAGAGACAATACAAACTTTACGTTTACCATTGTTCTCCACTTTTCTAAACCTTTTTTCATTCTACCTTATAGATTCGTGAAACTCTACCACTTCATGGAAGAAATGCTATTTTAGGTGATATGTTCAACAGTGTGTTTACTGATGTATGCTGTGTTAATTCCTCCTCGTCGTCGTCTTCTTCTTCGCCTCCTTTATCATCATCCTGTACTTTGTCTTCCTCTAATCCCGGTTCTACTCAAATTCATTCTGCTAAATTGAAATCTTCAACAGGAGGCGAAGGAAAGGATCGTGAAGATGTAACAAATAATAACAGTGGTAAAGTTGCATCAGCATCATCATCATCGTCTCCAGGTATCGCCTCTACAACAACAACATCAACCACAACATCTACTACTTTGACATTAGTCGTAAATACAGCTGGTCGTTTAATACAATTTAATGGTCAAAGAGATTTAGACAAATGGGTTGATTTAAAAGTGAGTTATTGAATTGTTCGTCCTTATCTCTCTTTCTCTGTCTATCTACCTATATGTCTCATACTTTATACTCGTTTACTGTGTACGTTGTTCTTTTTAATTCATTTATCCAATGTATGTAAATTAATTTGTTTAGAACTTAAATTATCAGTTAATACATATAAAATACACCAATGAATTTATTTTTATGCTTTATTGATGAATATTTATAGATGACGTCAGAAAATTCTTTTTTTTTTAAAAAAAAAACAAAATTAACACTTCATCCCCTGTTTCTTTTATGTATACTTATAGTTTGTTTTATTTTATCGATTACATTTGAATGATAATCATCTTAGTCGGTGCAGAATTCAAACTATTATTCACCTAGGTAACGAATGGACATTTTAAAAAAAAACTAATCTATAAAACTTTGTCATTTATGTTATTTCATTGTTTATCTAATGTACAATTGACAAATGACTGTAACTGTGACTGTCTTTTTACTTCATTTTCACTACATTCAATAGTCAATGGTATGCGCAACTTATTTCGTTATAATATTTAATGAATGATCCAAACTATTGATTTGTATCCATTTGTTATTTAAGTGTTTTATACTTTGTTTAAACTTAGCCAATATTAATTGGCAATCATTTTAAATTAAGATATAGTAGGTATTTGTTTAGTTGAAGTGGGAATTTTGTTAATAATTGACGTCAACTTAAAAAAACAACTGTTGATAGGTTGAAACTGTTCAGTAATAATATCTTTATACGTTATCGTACGAAATTGAAAATTGGTGAACGAATCGTCAATGGGGTGACGTTTAATCCTCAGAGTGAACATCGACTCTGGGATGTGAGTACATCCAGCTGACGAGTCCTAAATAGAAAGAAACACGCGTCCTGGATTCCACTGCTAGCTTCCGACCATCTTTGCTTATAATGCTTGTGAATTAAGGAAATGTCGAGGCGATCCGTGCAGGATGCACTTATGCCAATAAGAGGACTGATCGACTGCAGTCCTAAACATCAATGGGAAGATTCAAACATACTATACCAAATGAATTTTTCACACAATGTTTATTTTTATACAAAGAGACTGGTGAACAGTACGCAAATCTAGATTAAATAATATAATTTATTTCTTCGTATTATGCACAACTTTTAACTTGATCAATTACAGACCTAAACATCAATAGAAAGATTCAAACAAACAATACCAAATGAATTTAATCCTTTTAATATTCGGATAAGAACTTTTAGCGTGAAAAATTTTGAAGAATGAATAAATTTCCACACAAATCGGTTCAACAAACTACATGTATGAAACAAAGAGATTGTAAACTAACTGTTTATTATGCGTCGTGGTGTGGTTTATTGTAACTATCAATCTTATTGTATGTGGATTTATTTGTCTGTTAATTCAAATCGTGTATGAGATTGTGTGTTAACGGGAACAATCAATCGTTGACTCAGTTTATCTAAGGAGGATAAATTTATCATGAAAAATCGATAAACAGACAGACAACTACATTCATACATAAATCAATATGTAAATAGGTAAAAAAATTACTAATTGATTAAATTGTATTATAAGACTATAACTGGCACGTATTTGCTATTACGAATAAGAATAGATTTATGTAAGGCTGCTAAAAAAGATGTTATTTTCAATAAAATTAAATCATAACTTCACTAATGTATATCCCATTTAAATTGGATATCGTAATAGAATAGTTATAAACTAGAGAGCCTACAGAAACAAAGGATTGATAATAATCGTCCTCTCGGATTTCCTTTATTTTTAGATATTCTATAAGAAGATTTAAAAAATTTATTGAAACTTGACACTTTCAGCCATCACTTTGTCACAAGCTGATTTCCATACATGGTAGTTTAGGTTTCTGTCATTATTTATGATTATCATATTTCTTTTATTTTCTTTCTTAGACTTCTAGAGCAAACTGTATTTCAACAAGTGGTTCATGGGTAACTGTTGGTTGTACTACCGGTGTTTGTCTATTGTTTGAAGCTGAAAGTTTACAATTTATAGCTAAACTTCCTTTACCTCATACGTTGGGTTCTAGTTTGCAAGTAAGTTGTGATGTCTTTCTGATGCACAGTAATTTTTTTAAAATTTAACCGAAAAAATATGTATGTATTGATTTTGTTGAAAAATGTATTGTCTGTCCGATCGTCCAAGGTTGTGAGAATTATATAGTGTCTGAATGGGGGTATGTGTAAATTGTAGTAATTTTGATGGTCGAATTCACAAGTCGATGTCAGCTAGACCACCATTGAAAACTTGGAAGCTCTGGAAGGCCGTTCCACTCTAGTATGAGACTTCCTAACAGTGCGCACATACGTTCCTGTACGTGAGACTCGAACCCAGAATCTTCTGTCTCGCGTGCGAACACTTAACCCCTAAACCACTGAGCTGGTATCCAACGGTGTTAATGCCTAATTTTATTCTGTTGATCAGATCCATTTGGTATTCTTTGTTAGTAAACAATTCAGCAGGGCACACAGACGATGCAGATCTAGAAGAAAATTACCATAATGACTAACCATTCCCAAGAAGGAACGTAAGGTTTTTACATCTATCGGTGGATGCATGGTCTTGATATCGTCGACGTTTACTGGATCAGGTTTTCTTCAATTTTTCGTCGACTATGAATCTTGAATAGCGCACTTGCTCCATGTAAAAATCGCAACATAGGAAAGGTCCCTCAGATTCTTGGGAAGAATAAAGTTTGTTTAGCGTTCATCTCCAACTGTGCTTGACTCTGAAAGTGATCCTAAATCAAAAGGGGTTTACAGACGATCCATTCAAATCCCACGTTGAATACATCGTTAATTCTATCCACGAATTTGAGTTTGGTGGTTTAGCCGGTATGACATTCGAATCTTAGTTCAAGAAATATTAAGCTGTGTTCGCGGTCGACCTAGAGAAATTCGATGGTGTTGCGAATCTTTGATGAATAGTGATCTTTGTTCAATATTCGTTACCAATTTCTCAAGTTAGCGAAAAGCGGAGAGCATGACTGGGTACAATATGTCGGCGTAGTAAATCGTGAGTGTGAGCGTTTCAATTATCGGCAATGACTAAAGACCAGTTTACGTGTCTTGCTTGCTGTCTCCTGGAGATACCAGAATTTCGAGTAAAATTGAAGAATGTCCAATGATAACGCTGTAAGAAGTGATCAGTAAATGTCAGAGGTTAATGATTTTGAAACATGACACTTCTATGGTGTAAAACAGTGGTCAGCCACCATACGCGCGGACTATAAATTGACAAAAAGATTGTTTTACGGGAAAGCAGGACAGCCCAAACTAATAGCCTCCATCCTCGTGCTGGTTATGCCGTGAATGACAAAAATTGCACGAAGTTTTGTCCATATAAAAACTACTGTTGTACTAAGTGTTAACATAAAGGATACGAGGAATCCTGCTGTAAAGAGAAGATGTATCGTCGTCGTCCGCCGCTATTTTATTGCAGGAGACATGAACTTCACTCATCAACTAGTCATATAATAGTAGAAAAGCCAGAGCTATATATATATATATATATATATAAACGAAACTTATTCAATATCTTCCGTAGTCTTATCCTTTCGTTTCCCAAATTTATTGCTCTCTCCCTTTTCTTCTCTATTGATTTCTTTATTCTCTACTGACTTTTTTTTGTTTCCATACCCACCCGGACTACAAAGTCATTGTCATGTCAGGACTTTGTCTTATCATGTTACACAATCCTTTTTGTCTCGTAATAAAAATAACGCTTTTTTCCTACAAATTGTCTGGTAACGGAAATTTTATGTGAATTAAATCCTTACTTTCTTCATCTTAATGATTATATCCTTTTTGTTATAAGGTTTAGAATGTTTCTATTTTATTTCGAAATCTCTATTGAAGTAGATAAATTCATCGTCAAACACCCTATTTTAGTACGTCTCTGGTTGAGTTCAGTTTACCATAAATCTACGTGTTTGTTTTAAATACTCAAGAATTCTTTCTTTACATAAATTATTATTTTTTTACGTGTTCCCATTATACTAACTGATTATATTCGTCACAGAATATTTCAATTTATGGATTGTTACAAACAATTATGCTTCCTTGTAGCACCAATCAAAAGTGTTGGTTGATTATTCAGTCGATTCATTTTTTTTTAAAGTGAAAAGTAACATTCATTTCTTGTTGCATTTAATGCTATTACTTACTCTCCTGAAAATAGACTCAAGTCGTAATGATTTGAAAAATCTGTGTAAATATATATACTTACACAAAGCTTTAAAGTTATTTGTCGCATCGATTTAATCATGTATATGAGAAGTAAACAATTAGGTCGGAAGAAATTCCTTAACGTTAACTATCTGTGTTCTTTTATATGTTATAACTGTTGCTAAGAGAAAAGGTGGAGGAAACAAAAACACTAGAAGTATAAAGATTGAGTACTTTTTCTTTGTGTGGAAATAGTATGTGTAATTTCCTCATGAGTACTTATCTGATGATTTTCTCAGAAAAATGTTTTGCTATGTAGTTCCAGTTGTAAACTTGTTTGGCTCGTGAATTATGTTGACTTTTTCCAAACGTCAAAAACGATAATCTTTTAAGTATAAGTAGAGTTAATTTGTTTTTGATGGAGCAAAAATATCTTCGTTTGATAAACCTACTACTATTTACAAATTATATGGTACATTTTAGTCTGATATTTTACTTGTTGTATATAAATAGGAAGTTTAATAGGTCTGTCTAATCAAAAATAATTGAGAGTTGCAAGAAATATGCTCTTCTACTGTTTGTGATTGAAAGTTAAGGCACAGTGAAACAAAGTTTCCATAGCTCTCCATTGTTCAAATAGTTAATTGTTTTGGAAAGTTTGGTTTCAGATAGATAATCATTTGAAAAACAAAAATATAGGAAGCATTAAACAGTTGGTTTCATCTTTTTTCAATGGGATTGATCTCCTACTAGGAGGTCCACTGTTTGTTGAAGACGCTGATAAAATGCAGAGTCTTTTGGTAGCACTGAGCGACAGTACTAGGATGTTTGGGATGCGATCTCCCCTCTAAATACAAATTGTTGCTTCAGGACTGGCCTGTGTCAACACCTGAACTAAGGATAGGGAGTGAAGTAGTCGAATGAGTCCACAACTTCATTTATCTTAGAAGTTTGATCAGCCTAATGGGTTGGTGTCTGACGAAATTTCTGCACGAATTCGAAAAGTTCATTTGGCTTTTGCCAACTTACGTCACCTATGGAGAAGGTGAGATATCCGTATATCAAATAGACGGCGAGTATACTGCGCGGCAGTTCGTTCTGTTATATTTTACGACTGCGAAACATAGACATTAAGGGTAGAGGATACCTGTGAGTTACTAGTATTACTGATAGTAATAATACTGACAATTTGATCTTGTCTTTCAGCTTTTTCCAGAAGTTATCTCAAGCGGGTTGAATGTAAATGAATCTATTTACCCTGATATTATTGCAATTAAATTGGATTGTATACGTAATCGTATAATTTGTTTTTATAATGATCATAGGTAAGAACGATTTGTATATATATATATATATATATATATATATATATATATACGCTTATTTTGTTATTGTTAACCGGATAAGACTAAAACTCTGCTTGACTGTATTTGTTTTGTCATTTTGTTTCGTAAGAATTCGTTGTTATTTTTAAATTGAATATGATATATATTGATCGTTAAAGAGTATTAATCAACTCATTCAACTACAGTTGGCTTATTCATGTTAAAATCATCTGATAAACATCATGATTAAGTCATATGAGTATCTTTCAAAGTTGCTGACTAACATTTTCAGTTATAAGTGATCTAATTAGTGTTTAGATCACAAATTAAACAATATTATAAATCATCTTGTGCATCTACGTGTACATACCTTAAAAGCACTATTCTAACTCCAGGGTTAAATCTTTCAAGTACTTAACTACCGAATGCAAAATAGGCGTATGCAGTAGGACTTAGACCTAATGATTCAAACTCAAGATTACAGTGTTTCTTTGTTTTGCTTTATGTTGGGGAGACCCAAAATATTCCTCAAAAAAAGTCCAGAGGGGGCCCTGGAAAGGTAGAGAAACACTTTGTCTAATCAACATTGAATATAAACCTCTGAGAAACATCTAGAAAGTGAAGAGTAACGTACAGCATTTCTGATTGGATGATTATCTATCCTACTACTTGTCTAATGGAGCTCCAGAACTCCCTAGAAGCCTAAAGCCATTTGAAATTCTATGGATACCCTCAATTTTTTGTACATAAACTAACCTTGAAGTAAAGCGTTCTTTCCATATTATGCGCCTTTTCTCTCGTGTTCAAGTTGTCGCGTAGATTTAGCCTGGGTTTATTAGAAGTGCTTAAGAAACCGACTCAAACATTCAGTTAGATGTATCACTTTCAACCTTAACAATTGATAATAGTGTGTTTGATAACATTTCTATGTGTCAACTGGTCATTAACTACCCTTTTTCTTTATTTTGGCTTTGGATTCTATGGTTTGTTGGATTATTCTTCGAAAACTGGTAGTGATTCCATAAGGAAGTTTTGTTTATTTACACTGATAATTTTCGCCATGGACTGACACCAAATGATGCTATTTTAAACTAGTGTTCTAGTTTTGGACACTTCATCAGTGCTTATCCATAAAGCAAAAGGACTGAATTCTGGGTATTCTGGCTGATTATCATTTAAATCATAAAATTAATTCAATCAAACATAAATAAATTGAATGGTAGTTTTTTTGACTAACTACTTTTCAAAATGCGTAATTTATTGACGTCTGAAGTAAAATAACTACAAGAAGGAGTAGGGAGAAAATGAACTAGACTTCATTTTATCTTATAATTATGTTATAAGGTGGTACATTTGCTACACGTTTTGCAATTAATTGAACAGATGGTTGATTATATATTTTTTACGTCATCCCTTTTCTATCGAGAACTGAATATGTCTTAGATATGAATGCAACAAGGGTTGACTGTTGACTTATCGTTGATATTTGAATTATGATCAGAGTAGAGATTGTGGAAATTGTAGCAATTTTGATGGTCGAATTCATAAGTCGATGTAAGCTAGACCACCATTGAAAACTTGGAAGTTCTGGAAGGCCGTTCCACTCTAGTATGAGACTTCCTAACAGTGCGCACATACGTTCTTGTACGTGAGACTCCAAACCCAGAATCTTCTGTCTCGCGTGCGAACACTTAACCCCTAAACCACTGAGCCGGTATCCCACGGTGTTAATATCTAACTTCCATCGATCCATAAATGACTGCAACCTTTCGTTCATTGTTTGAGGTAGATACCTGTCTTTACCCGATACGGATTGGACTCCACTGGTCAACTGTTAAAATATTTGAAACACTCTTTCCTATTATTTGAAATTTCAGGAGGCAGCGTCGAATGTGGTTGTTTTACGCAATCCTAGTACTTTGATTGGTTGTTTGTTATTGATTGTATCGTTTATATTTTTGTGTTATTGCCGCAAGTTGATGACAGTTGTTGAATAAGCTTTGAGTCAACTGTTCCTGGCCAATTTTTTTTTAGTTGTATGTCAAAAGTTAGGTAGGAGTAGAATAAGGATGACATCGAATAATTCAAAATAACTGATGCATTTTAGCCCATAGTTAACCAATCAAGTATCGGCTACCTGATATATGGTTTATGTGTAATAAAATAATATTAGAAAGATTATATACTATAAATGGATTTGTTGTAGTTTTCCATAAGTTTTTCTGTTTGCAATTGAATAAATATTAGTCTTTCATTAATGTTTTAAATGTTCTGAGGACTTAATCAGTTAATTCTGCTGATCTCATTACGTGATTACCATGTAAAAGTCATTTTTTTAGGTTTCGGGTGAAAAGTCAAAGGTTGTTTTCTCTGTTCTTATTGATTGGTCACTATACTCTACTTTTTCCGAAATTTACATTCACCAACGTTGGTCTCTTGTTAATAATAAACACAAAAATTGTTTTCATTGTTTCTTGACGGTCGACTTCAATTACTTATTTTCGAATGTAAGCTCATATTAACGAAGATGTTTTGAACTCATACTGAAACTGTGTAACTGAAATAATAAGTTGATTATACTCAATGTCACGTGCGAAATTTCCAGAGTTTCGGTTGATTTTCTGTATAGCCTGGATAAATTCAGTGAATTTGATTCACTCTAAGTGATATTGAAACATAATTGTTGGATGTTGACTGCGTTACCAATTGAGCATAAACATAGGTATAGAATTATAAGCAAAGATGGATAGTGGCTAGCAGTGGAACTCAGGACACGCTCTTCATCCTATTCGAGGCTCGCCATATGGATATATCCGCATCCCAGAGTTGATGTTCACTCCGGGACTCGAACCCAGTACCGTGCACTTCGAGCGCCATCGCGTCATCCACTTAACTAACCTGCGCCATGTCAAGTTGGAACTTTTGCACGTCTTATAATCTGCTCTATATTTTTTTACTTCAATTCTATTAAGATTACAGACACGCCTTAATGATAGGTGTTACCTAGTATGGAACCTAAATCTACGGCTCACTGCCAGTATCTATAATCGCTTAACATTGTTGCATCTTATTGTAACTATGTTATAATATCATTGAGATATTTGATTATTTTTTTCTATCACATAAATGGTTTTCTCTCTCAGATATCTTTTGTTAAATTAAAACATTTCAGAGGATAGAGTGAATGACGCAATATCCGTTAATTGGTTTTTCATTCAATATATCAGTAGTCTTTACATATCTTTTAACGTATATTGAGCATGGAATACGATGTTGACGTGTTATTTTCTGCTCTCACGTCACACTATCTCTAGGTTGTTGTCATATTAGTAAATGTAATTTTAGAAAATTTAAACGCCCTTTTTACTAACTTTTATCGTATAACAAATGATTAATATATTTAAAAAAATTGTAAAAACTTTCTGTTTGGTGATAGTATGTCATATCAACAAAAAATGGCAGAACAATTGACTGTACCACTGAAATTTGACTTCATGATTTGTGAAATAAATCTTGTTTTTATCGATCAATAAGTGGACTTTGAAAAAAATTCAATGCAATGTTACTGACTTTGTTTCAACCTCCTGCGCGGAACATGCTTTAGTCCAATTTATATTACGCTAACACGGGAAATAACAGGTATCTACCTCAAACAATGAACGAAAGGTTGCACAGTCATTTATGGATCGATGGAAGTTAGATATTAACACCGTGGGATACCGGCTCAGTGGTTTAGGGGTTAAGTGTTCGCACGCGAGACAGAAGATTCTGGGTTTGGAGTCTCACGTACAAGAACGTATGTGCGCACTGTTAGGAAGTCTCATACTAGAGTGGAACGGCCTTCCAGAACTTCCAAGTTTTCAATGGTGGTCTGACATTGGTCCGTTCATGATATCAATACAAACTCAACAACCCATACTAATAGTAATTTTATCTATGATAACTTTATAAAAACGGAAGAAATCATTTTGATCTCCTGAAAACCTTTAAGAAAAAATTACCACTTTTGCTTTGTTTCTTAAAGTCTGTTCAAATGAGTACAATTAATATTTCTTCCGGAATTTTTGTCATTATTTTCTTCATTAAAGTATTCATGTATGGGATATGCATGACTTAACAACAATCAATAAATGTCGGTCGCATTATTACCATAGTCGAGGTATTTGGTCAGTGGATTGTTTACCGGAACAATGGCGACAGAATAATGATAACAATAATATTAATAATACGATTCCATTAAATCATTTACCATCTTGGTGGTCAAATGATATGTTTGTTACATGCTCTGATGATGGAACTATTCGATTTTGGAATCTTCCTGCAAATCGTCAGTCGACAACAAATAGTCTTACTGATAATGGAATTAGATTGTCAACAAGTGTTCCAGCTAATTCAGAATTTATAGGATCTACAACGTTCGAATGTACAGAAGTGAGTGATTGTATGAATGTTTAAATGTTTTTTTTAAGCTAAAAAATACCACTTAATTTCTTTTCTAACCGAATAAAAAAGTGTTCATGATATTTTTCAAAATTTTTTCTATTTATAGTAGTGATAATAACTAATCTGGTCAATCTTTTTCCAGTCCAGAACAATAATAGGTCAACACATTTACTGAAGTTATATTTTAGCACAAATTACAACAGTTCATATAGGTCATATAAATGAATTTCAATATTCATCTGATAGTTTTGAAGTAGTTTTTTTTCACAGTGCAAATCACCAGTCGGTCTAAGCTAGAACACCATTCAAAATCTGAGAGCACTGGAAAGACGTTTCGTCCCAGTATTGTGTTATGTGCTACTGATGTCGATAGATATAAGTAGTATGCATCATCAATCGAAAGTGAAATGCCTAGAGGCAAAAGGCTAAGTTCAAAGAAAATGGAACGAGAACAAAGAATAATTGGTGTGGAAACGAAAGAACAATGAAGTCTGAAATAATTGATCGACATTTTGCAAATGAAGCGTTAACTGTATGATCCTCAGATTTTACTAACATATTCTGTAATTTTGTATTCAAATACATTCGATTGTCCTCACTTGCGTTCTCACTCATCGCAGTATGTGACTCCTTAGTAGTGCACATTCACGATCCCTCTTTCAAGATGTGAACCCGGAACCTTCGGTCTTGCGCGCGAACGGTTAACTTCTGGACCACTGAGCCGGCACCCTATACTATGACAAAACGGACATTTAGTGCTCCTAGCTCTTCAATGGCGGTCTAGTTTAGATTGACTTGTTATTTCAACTGTGAAAATACTACATGCTCCACAAATCCCCATAGTGATATGGATTTTTTTCCATAACAGGCAGCTATGCTCTATCACATCATTAGCAAAGGAGTTCAAAAAGTTTGAATAAATAGTTTAAAAGGTTAATAAAAGAAACATTAGAATATATATTTTATTTCGAAAAATTAGCTACCAGCTAATTGTTTTACACATTTTTATCGATTATTGTTACAGTTATAGGGTTTACATGACTTGTATCTATTTATGTCACATTATATAATATTAGTATTAATCCCCCGATCAATATCAACTTTCGTGACTTTAATCATGAACGGTAAATACAAAGAAGAAATAACTAAGTGTTATAATTTGTATTTTCCCACTGTTTTTTGATTATTCAGTAATCGATTTATTTGTTTTCTGTTACTAAAATAAATTTTTATCGTGATGCTTCAATGCGTTTTCAAAGGTAATAAATAGTGATCATGTCTCAGTTTGTAAAGCTGGATGATTTGGGTTTGAATTCCACAGGGAGCATCGATTTCCTTACGATTTCAGGTACACTTTGTAGACGATTACTAACTAGCACTGAATCGGTGTCTAAGGGTTCTTATCAACTATTTCCAATGATCTCATTTTTCGATATACTGTCTACTGTTACAAGTTCTTGGTGTTTTAAATAGTGTCTATGATGATAAAGAGTTTATAGAGATTTATACAAAGCAAGAATGACATTGTTTACGGAATATTCATTGTAATTCATTGCTTTCTCTTCAACTACATAGAAATTAATTGGTTTGATTATTTCTGATCGTTAACATAGTGTTGGAAAGCCAATCGTTAATCGACGCTAAATAAATTGTGTGTAATATGAAGGAAATTAAGAGTTCAAGTTTTCATAAGAGTGTAGGGTGCTTTTTGTAATTACTCAAGGTAATAATTCTAAAGTATTCACGCAATTTCATTACGTAATGTTAAGAACTTTTGTAAATTAAATAAGAAAAAGAAAGTATGTGAATTTAGCTCAAAATAGTAAAACAGTGACAAACGAAGCTGATAAACCCTTTAAATGCCAACATTCATAGACACGTGGTCATCAGAACAGCCTGATTAAACATGCTCACTTCTTCATGTAACGATACAAACTGCCATAAGATCTACCTGTAAAGTTCTAAACCTTCCTTAATTAATTCAATTTATTGTTTAGGGAATAAATGGTCATTGTTTTACTATTTGTTTTAGCAACTTGCTGGCATTATATACACCGATCCAAGTCTAAAATATCTATGTACTAGTGATCGTTCTTCAAGTAAGTTTCACATATGAATCTAAATTTGTGTTTCTTGTATTTAAAACTAGGCTCCGTGGTTTTGTTTAATAATTGTTCAGTGATTCAATTTAGTAATTTGTTGGAGATTGAGACAGTATATCTTAGAAAATGAAATACGTATTTCATCATAGTGAATATATATTTGATTGCTTTCAAATCTATCTTATAATAACAGATCATTTCGGTCCAGTATAAGGTTATTCGCTTCCCTAATAGCTCAGAGATAACACCTCAAACTCTGAAGCTGGGTGACGCTGATTCGAATTCCATATGGACCGTCTGTCGCCTCAAGTTTACGGGTACACTTTGTTGACAAGTATCAAATAACAGGGTGGCTAAGTTCATGGTTTTCTTCCAACAACCTTCAACCGTTTGATATTATAAAAAACTAGACAACTGTGTCATTCTAGTTCGACCTTTCTTGTTATATTAAACTTAATCAAGTCTTACGACTAGCTCTAACTTCAAACTACTGAATAGGGAATTCACTTATTTACGCTTTTAACTTAATCAGATTGCTTTATAGTTCGATTTACATCCCATTTCATAAGTGATTTATTTTTCCACTTCCTGACTCTGAAAAAGTATATCTTCATTTTAATGAAGTTAGGAAATATAGGTCATTGGATATCCCTTACTGTCTATTATTATTCTATACTTTCTAAAAGCATTTACTAAGAGCTTGTGACATTGATTGAATGCTTACTTCAATTGTATATACACATATATGATAGATGATCTGATCGTATTCAGTTTTAGTTAAAAACTATTCTTATTCAACGTTGCTACTGTCCGATAAATCTCTTGCGTTTGTTAACATCTCTTATACAAAAAGAGTTACATAAAAGCATTAACATTTGTACATTTGTTTTGATCGTTTTAATCTTCCCGTTGATATTTAAGACCGTAATTTATCAGTCTCTTTTTGCACATGTGCATCCTGTGCGGTTTGTCTCGATATTGTCATTAAGTCATAAGCATCATGAGCAGAGGTGGATGATGGCTAGGAGTGGAATCCAGGACACACATTCCGTCCTATTTAGTTACTCGTTAACTTTGGGGTTCAGGGACGTTCAGCCGGAGAATCTCAGTTAGGACGAAACGCGCATCCTCAATTCCATTGCTAACCAACATTCATCTCTTTATGTTAAGATTTATAGTTTGTAATATTTTCAACAAAATACTCGGCAGCATATCTTTTTATTACTGTTATGTAAACTATTCGAAAGGAAAATAATCGAAAAAGGCTTTTTTTCTAAATGTCTTTAAAATAGGTTTGGATTATATTTTGTGTAAAGTAAACACTATGTTTCAGTTATTATTTATTGAATCTTAACTTACTACATGCTATTCGACAAATAGATTTTGAAACATTCTTAGTATAAAAGTATCTCTCTGCAGATTTGAGATGATTGTTTTTCTTTTTTTCCGAATAAGGTGGTTTTCGTTGAAGTTAGTTGTATAATCAACTTATTGTAAACAATTTTTTGCTCTAGTGACAGTTTGCTATTTTATGAAGTTTTTTCAGTGTATCGGTGAAATTTTTTAGCCATATGGATAAAATTTTTGCGCAATCCTTTGTAAATCGTATCGAAGGATATTGGTTTAAAATTTAAGGAAAAAATGCCCATGCATATAATCGTCGTGTATACTTGGGTTTTTCTGGAAGTCTTGTTTTATTTTCTGTTAATCAAAGCACCCAAAAATAGTTTCCTATAGTAGTCTATGTCTACCTTCTTTTTCTTTAAAATTCAGAATCCTCGTTTGCTCATAAGTTGTAAAATATTAATTAGCTTTAAGAATAATTTCTTCAAGTTTCCATTAACAGCTATTATCTAGTTATAATATCAGGCAAATTGGAAATTATGTCATTGATTACTCACCGATGGCCTTAGTTATGACAGTCGCAGTATATCAGTATTTAGTTGAATTTTGAACTATATAAACGGTTAGATACCTGCTTACTGGTCTTACGGTATTGTCACGCTTGGCTTTGTAATTGTCTCAAAGTTACTTACACTAATGGCAATGAAATTCCCAGGTCCCATTACATATGGTCTTATTAAGGACACTAGCGTGCAGTCGGTCCTGATGAATATTAGGAACACTTACTTCGACTGCTCAAGGTGATATGTAGTTTCAGTAGGTAAGGTGTATCCCTAGTCTTGTAAGCCTGTTTGACGTAATCTTGTTTAAGATGTAAAGTGAATGAATTGAATCTTTTGTTACGACAACTTGCTCGTCTATTGCTAGTTTCGTCCCAGAGACAGATAATCTTGACTGTTTTCCCTTTTGTTTGTGTTTTTTCTCCCTTCCTTTCTCTCTACTTAATCACTCACTCATCCACCCATACACCTGTTCCATTTTTTATAATCCTCCAGTTGAAATTACCTTGTCTAAATTAGAAGGTAAATCAAATAAATATTTATGCATATATATGTGTGGCATTTTATTTACGTATACATACTTCTGTGTGTATGCTTGTATGTGTAAAAATGTATCCCTATGTACATCGATTTGTTTTACTTTTGCAATCTCATTTCATTTTGCATGATATTGAGCTAATTTATATTTTCATCGCCTTTTTTCCAATGCATGTCTGATATATATATCTATATCTGGCTAACCCATCACCATGGTCATTTGCACATATGCATTGATTGGAATGTCAAGTTAATGAGTCATTGACCACCTTTGTTTTTGTAGTCATTTGATATCATTTTTAGGTTGAGGTACTTACTCGTAGGGAAACTTGTGACTTCCTATTTTCTTGCGATTCATCAGATGAATATCTGTATAGATACTTCCATTTGAATATCACCCTTTTTTCACACTGACATCGAAACTTCAATTTAGTTATTATATCTTACTTAATAACCGTTAATAATCAAAGATCACTGAGTACTTTTATTTCGTCTTATTAATCTTGGGGTATCAAAACGATGTGATCCACAGTCCTTTATATTTAAATCATACGACAAAGTGTTTGTTAATATCAATTATAAGCGTTTTGTGGATAGATTAAATCAATAAAGAATTTGATCGCCCAATATATCAGTCGTCAGAATATAGGATCAAGTAAAGCAAAAAACTGGTACATTCAGCAAAAAAATGTGAAATAGAATCAAAGAAACGATCAAGGTTTAAAAATCTAAGACAAAATAAAAGTGATTTCAAATTGAACCAAAAGATGACCATAATACACATTAATACAGAGACTTAGAGGAATAACGTTATGTGCAATGTGAAATAAAAAAACAGTCTCTTTGACCACACACATGGTGAGATTATCTGACAGGAGGAGACACACATACTTACAAAAAGATTCTACATGGGTGTCCACGGAAACACCCTGGTCACTTTCAGTTATGCCCCCCTAGCTAACTTGCCGATATCGTTGGAGGGTGTAGGACTTACCATAGTGTGCATGTATACTCCCTTGATGCTAGGGTGTCATAAGATATTCAAATGCAAAGAAATCGTGTTTCCCATATTCAACAAATCTGATTCAACAGTCTCTCCCAATCTCACGAACTAAACTTTCAAACCCGTCTCGTTGTACCCTATCACCAACTTAAAGAGTATGATTACCAAGTAGGAAAGTTGTGTAACGCTTTATCATCCTAGCGTACTACTACAATGCATCTCTGCGTACAATATTCATTGGGTAATCTTAACATCAACTGAGTTACTAACCACTGTATAAAGTAGTCCATAATATTTAAAATTTTATACAAATTTATGCATAAAGTGATGTGAAGTTTCTTTCCATACCAAACAATGAATAAATATACTTGTTTCACCACAGTCATCAACTCAATACTACTTTAACCCTCGAATTATTTTTTCTCTTGTCCTTCCCTGTCAAGATAGATTGGATGATTGTACTCAATTTGACAATCCGTTCTCATCGATCTAAGTGTTGACGTTGTCAGATTGATTATCATCATCCTCATATACTTTATAAAATAGACTTTGAATTTCATCCGTGAAGCAGAATCCAATATGAGTTTGTATATCTGCTCATAGTATTTACAAGACATCCAGTTGTTTGATACCACAGCTATATTCAGCTAGTCGGACGATATGTCGAATTCCATAGAAAGTTTGGTCGTGAAATGCATCTAGCTTGGAATATAGTTAACTCAGTGATGTTCTTCAATTTTATATTTCAACAATAAGTGGCACAAAAAGATTTTAGCCACACTTCCATTTAGTTTGACTAGATCACACTTATAATCACTTCTGATACAATCAAAGTGTAGTATGTATATTTTGACACCATAGTTAACCGCGAGATTAATTTCTGAATGGTATAGACTTTTGTTATTCACATCTGTCACGACTTTGAAGCGTTCTGCATTTTGTAGCACGTCACACAGTTATCTTGACTTTTGTTCTAATTCGTTACGCGATCAATTTCATCGAAACCTTCAGGTAAATTGCTCAGTACAGAGTTCTTACTCATAACTACATCCAAACCAATAGATTTATGAATATGTAAATAATCAGGATAGCATGAACCGTCCTTTTGTAATGGTGGGTCTTCTTAACATTTGTGTAAGTCATTAATCGATAGCATCAATACACACATGACACAGACGTGTTATAATGTATGCAGTTGCGAAACTGAACCATTCCCTACCAAATATTCCAGATAGTTTAACAGTACCAAAGCGCTCATGCCTAGTACCAACTAATTCCCGTAGGCTATTTTCTTAGTTCAGTTATAATGCGGAGATAACCCTCGAATCAACAATCTTATTAACACAGCCTGAGTGAAGTTCACATTAAAGTAAGTTGATTTTTCTCTTATTTCTTTACCTCACAAGTTTTCCTTTCGTAATCAAGTTTATCTTCCATTTAAGTTGCTACCATACTATATAACTTACTTATTCTAGCTGATTTTTTTCACATTCTATTTATCTTCTTATCCACCTGTTTTCCATTAATCTCTGTTAATTATGATGCGTAACTAAACTGGGACTGACGAAACTTTATCAATAAAGCTATCGAACTACAGTCAATTTTATTACCAAGTCTAATATCGTTCAATGTAAAAGTCTTGCTGAGCAAGCATAATGTTTTCAAAAATGAACAATATTTGAGCGAACAATTGTTTTCAATAACTTCATCATCAGGCTCTACAGTTATAAGTCCAGAATTATAATATTTTACAAAGTCCAAAATGAGGCATGTATTAATTAATTTGACAATGTTATATGTTAAAAATGGTAAATGTTTGCATCTGTTACGACATGTATATACTTTAAAATTGTGTTATTTGTAAATTAGAAAGGTCATTTAATAATAAAGGTCAAAGTGATTTGTAATCAAGTGTCTAGTCACAATTAATAAAATAGTTCAAAACAGTGGTTCCCTTTAATAAATTTGAACAGAGAAATGAGAAGAAAAATTTTGTGAGATAGTACCATTTCGTAATTTCTCGTCAGTCACATACAAGCAACATGTTATTCGTGTAAATACAGTTTTGAAGATAAGGTCAAAAATTTTTATTTAGCATGACATTCACTTACTAGAACCATGGTAAACAAAGGTCAACGTACAGTTGTTTTTGAACACATAAAGTTGGACTTTTCCGACCAATCAAGATAGCTTCGAGTAGTTTGAGTGTGTGTGGGTTTTGATGACATGTCACAACTCTAAAGGCTGATTTTGGGTCAATTTGATGACCACTCATCATTAGATGTTTTGCAATGGACGAGGCTGGGTTTCTTGATCGATCTTGAGATGACGGGCTAGGTGGATGAATCATGGATTTGATTAACCATCTTGGAATATGTTCCCCTATCCTGTCCTCCAATCGGCGATCTGTCCTACCTAAGTAACTTTCTCCGCAGTTACATGTGAATTGGTAAATACAGTGGGATTTGGACTGAATCGGTCTTGGAGACTTGATAGGGTTAACTGAGATCGACTGAGTTGTTGTGATAAGCCTCAGATTAGCTGCATTGAAGGTCTTTTTTATTGCAGCTGCAGTCTGTTTGGTTGTAATTTTCATGCAGTGATCACCCTTGAAAGGTAACTGTAGGTATACTGGTTTCTTGGGCACATCCGTTGCTATCAGTTTCGTCGTATTTGTGTTCTGATGACCAATAAACGTTTCAGGATATCCGTTTAATTTAAGTGTCTCAGTAATAAACTTAAATTCGTCGTCCAATGTATCTACAGTGCAGATTCTACTTGCCCGAGCGAATAAAGTTTTGACAATAGAACGTTTATATTGTATGGGGCAGAAACTAGTGAAGTGGAGGTACTGTCCCGACCAGGTGGGTTTGCGATGTACTCTGCGTCTGATCGATCCGTCTGGACGGCGATGGAGCAGGATGTCGAGGAAAGCTAGTTCATTATTGTTTTGTTCCTCATAAGTGACTTTCAGATTCGGGTGAATTGCATTAAATAAATATAAATAAATATCTGTAGACTGTGGTAATATGACAAGAATATCATCGACATATCGTTTGTAAAGTGTAATACCATCAATGAATTGACTCACTTGCCTTTCTATCATTCCCATGAATATGTTTGTTAAAACAGGTCCGAGAGGGCTTCCCATAGCCAGTAATTTAGGAAAAATGAAAATGCAAAAAAAATTGTGAATAGAATTTATGGTAGGATAATTTCATCTTGTCAATTGAGATAATAATGATAAATAGTAATAGTAATAATAATTTACAAATAACACAATTTTAAAGTATATATATGTCGTAACAGATGCAAACGTTTACCATTTTTAACATATAACATTGTCAAATTAATTAATACATGCCTCATTTTGGACTTTGTAAAATATTATAATTCTGGACTTATAACTGTAGAGCCTGATGATGAAGTTATTGAAAACATTTGTTCGCTCACATAAAGTTTTCCTTAAATTCCATCTTTATGTGATCCGTTTTGGTTGTAATTAACTTCCTTTTAGTTATTTCAGTTTTGAAAACAAATCCTTCACCATTATTACTGTACCATCTCTGTGTTTTACCCTTTACCATTCTCATTGTCATCAAGTATCAGTTTTTGTTTGTTTGTGTACATTTCAACTAACATTTAAACACTTATACTTTAAAAAAACTACTTTTATCACAGCATTGACGTTTATCTTATAAAAGACCTACGCCACACAAGTGTTCCAAAAAATCTTCGCATCAGAATACATTTATCTCTGTAAAAGCCAACAAGAATATTGATTTTATGAATTACTGATAATTTATATTAGATAAGTAAACATTCTTAACTAAGAATAATTTTCTTTGAAACTTACAACCGTAATTTTCACTTTGTTCAAGGAGACAGATGATGTGGAAGAAGAGAATATACATATTATGAATTTGGATTTATCATTTGTTTTGTCTTTCTCAATTTAGATTATAAACAACTGTATTTAAACTAACTTTGATTTACTACTCACCAACAGTTTCGTTTTATATTTCAAAAGTCCGTTTGATGCAGTAAATTTGTTATAATCGCCATTAACACATTAAGATTCGTTCTGTGGTTGATGTGAGAAAGTGTTTTCCTTGAAAAATCTAAAGGCAACTAGTCATCAACTACTACTGTCAGCTCCTTACAGAATTGAAATTTAAGATATTTTAATTAGGCTCCCTATTATAAATCAAACAGTTTTCGAAAATATTCACACTGTAGTGATTTCCCGTAATTCATTACACTCGTTGCTTTATTGTTAACGTAGTTGAATTTTTATGCCACCAATTTCAATCAATAGTCAAATTGTATGATAGTCCTTGAAGTTACATTAACTGTGAATCTAGTGTTGTATTAAATCTAAAGTAGTTTTTTTTTCAAAAAGTCGTAAAATATGACGAGGAGTTTGTTCATAATTCTTTGCTTTCCATTCGTTACATAGCAGTCATTAATTGACTGAAATCATCAATGATTCTCGCATACTACTTACCTAAATTAAACATTCTTTATTTCTCATAATCATTATTAACTTTAAAGTGTGATTCCACCTTCGCTTTTTCGTTACTTTGGATTCCTTTTTTCATAGCATGGTTTAACATAATCTTTCACCTTATAACATGTGGAATGTAGTGTTATCATACTAATGAATATTTCGGGTTGAAAGTACATAAATATGTATGTGTATACATTATAATTATAAAGTCTATATTCTACTCATTGAATTTATTTGCATGTCCTCTCTTCGATAGCTTTTGTGAAGGTCTGTGTACTTTGGATTTTTTATATTTTGTTCTATGACTACTTATACGAAAAAAGTACTACATTGGAGATTCTAGAAATTAAATAAAGTATTGTTCCAGTTTGAGTTTGGTCTTCTCAGGTTTACCATTTTCTGAGGTCGATTAGCCTGCGTTGAAGTTGTGAATGACATAAATCTTGTGTTTAGTAGTGTTTGTCTACTGAATCAAAATGCGTTGACTGTAAGCACACACTTTAGTTCATCTCAATACTCCTAAGTGGTGGGGCATAGATGACATTAAGGTACTTTTCATGCAGAATTGTGTATGGGTACACTTATTGGCTATTTTCCTACGTTGTCGCTGACTGACTGACTATTTTCCAACCAATCAGCGCTAGTAGATACTTGGAGAAGACTCCAGATTCGTATGTGAAAATTATAAATTTACTAACTTTTTTCTTATTGCAATTCCCACTTCCATCCAACTTTGTTATTTGGAATATGATTACGTTCCCGTTCAGTTGTGTTCTGATTTGCGGACTTATCGAGTGAATTGGTGTCCAAGAATACTAAGAAATAGGAATAGCTGGTTGATAGTAAGAGAATTTTTAACAATAGTCAAAACGTTTGCATAATAACATAGTTCACTGAATCAAAAATACCTGAATTATCTTTGTAATAAAAACATTTGAGCATGTACATAACTACACACAAACATACAATATTGCACTAAGTTAATATTTTAGTAACACACTTATGTAAAGAGTCATGACCTAAGGGTAGATACAGCTGTTTAATTTCCTAATGTTTTCAATATTCTTGCAAACAAAACCAGTTTATCATAAATGTATAATTAGAAGTGAGTTATTTCTGAAAACATTTTTCGCAAATAATATTCGTGATTAAATATTTCTATATTGACTATCTTTAAAAAAAAGATAATTTAGAAGTATGTCAATTTCTTTACTTCATGATTGTCTCTGAGTGGTATTTACCATGGTCCCGTTTATTTACTCAACTTTTTGGCAGTGTTTGTATGTAAACTAATAACACAATATCTAACTGCATTCAAACTAAAGTAGGCCAAGAGAAGTTTAAACTTGAAACTTACTAGTTGAAACATTGCTCAATTAGTTACTACTTAACAATTCATATATTTGAAATAAATTCACTTGATAAAGATAGTGAAAAGAAAATCTCTTATTGCTTTTCTTTCTTAGGTGGGATAGGCCTGTTAGGTGGACCAGGTTTTGTACCTGGTACAAATGATCTGGGACAGATTGATTCTGCACTTCAATCACCTGCATCACCATCACGTCCATCAATCAGTGAACATTTTCAGTTGATTTCTAGTTTAACGTCTTCATCTAATACTGTTGGTTCTTGTAATACTAATAATAATAATAGTAGTAGCAGTACTACTGCTACTACCACTATCGGATCAAATGGTGTTCGTACCATTTGTATTAGTCCTGATGGTCGTCATTTAGCAGCTGGTGATCGTGATGGTAGTCTACGGTACGTGTGATTTAATGGTGATATTTTTAGCTTTTCTAATTGGTTATCGTGATTAATTCTCTAGGAGTGTTTCATAATTTATATTAGTTATTTTAATCCTACCGTTGATCTAATGAACTTCAAGTGTCAGTCGCTTTTGAAATATGTGCGTTCTGTGCGGATCGCCTTGATATTTTCGTTACGTCACAAGTATTGAAAGGAGTGTTAGATAGTGGCTAGCTGTAGGATACAGTACGCACTTTTCGTTCTATTTGTGACTCGTCGAGCGAGTGTATCTTCGCGCCAGTGTTGATTTTCACACCGATACTCAGATACTGTGCTTGTGAATTAATAGTGTTGTTGAGGATTCAATCAGATTTAGGTTTGTGGCTCTGGAATTTTCACATGAAGTTCGATTGCTTTCTTGTGTACTATGGTAAATAATTCAACATGTAAAGGATCATTTATCATGTCAAAACTATTTAATCAGTGTAATTTTATTTTTACAATGATAAATTGTTATATAACTAGACACTTTTCCGAATGTCTAATAAGTCGTTGAGAATTGTCAGTATAGTTTTACCGATGCAGAAATGTACGAGTTGCCGGATATTTTATTCGAAATAAGTAAAGCTTCACCGGGTTTAGTTGCTGGTAGTATATAAAAAAAGATTAATTGATTTTGGATTTCACTGTTTTCGTTTATTTTTTCTCGTTTGTTACTTTTATTCTTCTTTACTTGCTACTAATATATGTTTAAGCGTCTGTTTGTATACGTATAATTCTTTTGTTAAATAGATGAAAACTAGTTTCTAGTCATCCACCTCTTAAACTTTTTACTGTAATTTGTGTAGACTTTACGAAAATGTTTTTTTTAGAATATTCTTTTCGTACTAATCCATCATTTTGGAAAAGACAAAAAAATCTAAAATTTTATGTGAGACAAGCAATCCCTTATACATGTATTGAGTCTATTTTGTTCTTATTATGCCTGTTCCTTTTGTTCGTATATAACTGAAGAGATTGTCGATAGTTGTACGTTGACATACTTACATAGTGTTAGATGGTCGGAGGTGGTTGGCAGAAAGCCGTTGACCTAGGTTTCTTGCTAGCTGACACTTATCGACAAGGTTTCTTGAGCTTCCCAGCCGTAGGTGTTACCATTGATCTATTCGGATTGTGATTGCTTTATTTATTTAAAATCATGAGCAATTGGTACAAGGAGGCGCCACATATATATACGCCATACTTCATCATTCGATTTGTGTGAGGGCTGTAATTCTTCCCGGGAGCTTAAACCAAGAATGTGTTTTTTAGGGGGCCAGTGCTCGAGCCCTCGACATACAGGTCTAATCCACAAGGCAATAGAGGGATGTTAGAAGATGCAGTCCCATGGTAGCCGTTGACCAACAATAGGCTTATACGCCATTTGCTTCCTCAGCATCATGTAACCTATGCGCACCACTGATTTCGAATCAGGGTTCTTCAACTCCCCTAGGTGGATCCTCCATACCCACCAACTCAGTTAAAGCGCCGAAAATCCACTCAATTTCTTCGACAAAACCTCTTGTGAGAAGGCAGTGAGCAGGACTTCCCTGGCAGTTTTGTATACTCATGGCCATGTGAGAGGACATTTTTGAGGGGTAGAGTGTACTTTCCCCACACTCATTTATACCAGGGCATTTTGGAAGGGGGTTGTGACTGACCGCCTGTAGTATGTTTTTCATGATTTTTCTCTCTGTCTAGCTGTTATAAGTATAATTTTCTGGTGAACATCACGAATATATTCAACTAATTGGCATCCATCATTGGATATTTGTATGAGTAACTCTGTTTCAGAATACTCTGTTTATCTGCTCGATTTTACAAACTATCAGCATCAGTAAATTTAATAGAATATAAAAGAAATTTAAAAATCACTATCGTTTTGTTCGATATGGACGTTCGATGAAGCTAATGTAATCACAACATCTCGAAATGTGTTTCATTAGGAATTAATAAAACTAATAATAAATATTTGAAAATTTCTTATTGTTTCCAAAATCATTGTCCTAGGCATAAAATATCAGCCCATTGTATTAATAAATTATTTGAATCTCTTAGATAATTTTAGATAATCGGTTAAGTAATATCCGTTAACTGAAATTAAGTAAGAGATACATGAATTCTATTAACGTAAGCTATAGGACGGACTGTCATTTAGTTATTGATATTTATAGAATAGGTCTAAAATATCAATACTCACCATAAATCAAATGTTTTCGAAGAAAATTTAAAACTTTAATACATTTATAAGTGCTTGGGTCAGTTTTAAACTTAACTGTTTGTTAGGATTTACTTTTTCTCACTTCAGTATACTTTCATGTTATATATTTTGATTACTGAAATAAAAATTTAGTAATGCAAGTTAATACAGAATAATTTCATTCAATCAATGTTGTTGTCAATATTCTCTGGACTCAACAATCAATCTTATTATATGAGTTTGAAACTCTTGCTCTAGCGTTAGCTAAAGATTCGTTTCAGGGCTTCCCAAATATGTATCTTGTTCTGTAATAGATATTTTATATTCTTCACAAAGACAGGACCAGTGATAGAAAATAAATGTTGCACCGATAATAACTTTAACCTCTTATTTTAGGTACCATCAGTGATCTCAGTTAATCTTTGTTGTTACTCATGATAATCACTTAGCCACATTCTACACTTGTCCAAATGAGACTCATGTACAAGTGACTCAAGCCTTATCGAAACAGTCACACACTACATGATATAACTTGTGCAAATATATTTCTTTACATTGTTGGGGTCCACCTTACTTTGGACATAAAAGAGGACTTTGAAGTAACGTTTTAAATGTGTGTGTAGAATGTCGGTTCTTTTGTGAAACTGTTTGATGCGTAATAACGTAATTTAACTCCTGTGATTATCATCTAATATGTGAAATATTACTTTATTCAGCTACTTGGGTTTTGAAGCTGTGATTTGAAAAAAACTTTTGACTAAAACATAGTTACTTACATACATACCTTTTTGCTTACACTTGTTATCCCTCGTAAATGAACGTAGGTCTCCCATCAGTATTCTCCATCCAACTCTGTCCTAGTCAATCCTTTCCAGTTGCTATTCATTCTTTTCATGTATGCCTCCAATTTCCGACGCAGTGTGTTCTTTGGTCTTTCGCTTCTCTTTTCCCTTGAGCATTCCACGTTAGCGCTTGTTTTGTGATACAGTGTATTTCCTATCCTTTTCCAACATCTCCTAATTTCTTCTTCATCTGGAAGCTTGTTTGTTCTCTCTCACAGTAGGATGTTGCTGATGGTATCCGGTCAAAAGATATTGAGTATGTTGTGTAGACAATTGTTTATAAATACTTGTACTTTTTGATGATGGTCGTAGTAGTTCTTCAAGTTTCAGCTTCGTACTGTAGGACTGTGTTGACGTTCGTATTGAAGATTCTCACTTTGATGTTGGTTGACAGAGTTGTTTCGAGTTCCATATGTTCTTCAACTGTAGGAATGCTGTCCTAACTTTGCAAATCCTTACTTTTACATATATAAGAACTCTCGTCTAAATTAGAGCGAATAGTTTCACAGTATTTGAGCGCCGAGTTGATGTAAGACATTTGGATTTACTGCAAATTCATTCGCTTAGATTTTACAAATATATTATTCCTATTTAATGCCTTACTTTTACATCTGCATTAGATCCTCATTGTTCATCGATGATGTTACCCAGATACGTGAAATTTTCCATTTCTTCCAGAGTTTCGCCATCAAGCGTTATTAAGTTGGTGTTCTCCGTGTTGCATTTGAGCATCTTGGTTTTTCCTTTGTGTATGTTGAGGCCTAATTCTTTAGAAACTGCTGCTTCACGGGCTGTCTCAGTTTACATTTGTTGGTGTAAATGAGATAGAAGAGCTAAGTCTTTTGCGAAATTCATATCGTCTAGTTGCATTAAAGCTGTTCATTGTATTCCATGTTTTCTCTGAGATGTAGAAGTCATTATAATCCAGTCAACCTTCTACTTTTCCACTCTTGGTTTGTCTGACGGCAATGCTGATTCCTTCGATCATTGATGGAGTAGTAGCTATTAGAAGGTCAGTGTGTGCTGCTTCAATGTCCGGTGGGTTCAGTGTGGATGGTCTATTCAAGAGTTCTGCGAAGTGCTTTACGTACCTATTCCTCTGTTCTTGAATCTCAGTGATCTACTGGCCGTATTTATCTTTGAGTGATCACCCTGGTTCACAATATTTTTCCGCAAGCTTCTACGTTGTGTCATATTTCCTTCTTTCGTAGCTTTTTCCACTGCCCTTGCTAGATCTCCGAATTTTTTGTGCTTGCGCAGTTTTTTTCCAAGTTACAAGTTATCTGTCTTACAATTTCATCCAACAACTACAAAACCTCGAATAGCCCTAAGCTCCCTACTTATCATGCTCAAGGCATGTAATGTATTTGAATGTATTTGAATCTTTAACTTACCGAACTGGATTTCGTTCTCCTAAAGTCATACAATACTTTGTAATTCGTATAATCTTTTATGAAATTCAATTCCGAAAAATTTGATTTGAAAGAGTGGTTATTATAACCAGTATTTACACAGTTAAATCTTTGCTTTTTAATCTACATTTGAAATGTTTACGTTTAATTCAAAAAGTTTTCTAAACTTTGGTTTTCTGAATAAGGCTGTTAGTTATGGAAACTATAAATAATTTAAAACTTTCTATCCGTCTTCTGGATTTTTGAGTGATCTGTCAACTTTTTCTGATTTTAAGGTCTAGGTCAAACAGTATTCTTCACGTGCACCTAAAACCTCATACTTTGACGGGGGATTCTCGCTGTTGTAGAAGTGAGTTTGAAAAAATCTAGGGTCCGCCAAAACAAGACATGAGATGAATCTGTGAAGTAATTGAGCAATATTCGTAAATACAGAATAGTAGGTTGAGGTCTGCGCGATAACTGAGATCAGTGGTTGGCGATTTAGAATCATTCACAATGAGTCAGATACATTAACTTCTTATTCTCCTGTCGATTTTTAATTCAGGTATTTCTTCAAACATACTTTTTTATTCTGTGTTTTCAAGTCATTCTCATTATCACTCGTAATACATTATTACTTCGGTTATCTTGATACTCATTCATCTAAATTCGTTGGAATGCGCCAACCTGCGGTCAACCAATATATATTCCAGGCTCCATATTGATTATGACTGACCGTCTTTCTACACAAATCAATGTACATAATTAATAAAGTTATGCCTGGATGAACATATAATTGTAGTACTTACATATATACCTTCTATTTATTGACCGTTATTAATTTTACTGTATAAATAAGTCATATGATACTTGAATTAAAGAGGTTTCCAAACTTAAAATAAATACTGTTACTATTATTATTAATTAACCCATTAATCGATTCATAAAGTTTTATATATATATATATGTATATATAATGTTTTTTAGAGTTTACTCTTTGGAGACATTGAAATTATGTTATCAAATACCTGCTCATGACAATGAAATTCTATCGTTGAATTTCTTTCAATCATATTCAGGTAAGTTGTCATTTTGAGTTATTTTCTTTTCTAAATTGTTTTGTATTTACTAAAATAATACTATTCTCTTGAACATGTTGTTCCATTTTATTTTCCCTTAATATTCAATTTGATTCTCAATAAGATATGAAAGTTTTGTGCATACTTATTTATCAGTTAGTTATTTAGCTACCACGCATTCATCCTATTATTTTTCATAGTGATACTTTATTATTAATTAAGGTTATCTATCATCTGTATGACTAGTTGTTAAGGATACTAGATCTTGAGAAACCACCACGTAAACGTCCCGTGTTTTAAATTTAATTTTGGAAATTTGAGTTCCTCATTTTCGCGCCAAAAACCACTTTTACCTTCAGTTTGTATTTGCCATTTGGAAAGACCTCACGTGTCATTGGTTGGTTTCCTCTTTTTGTATGCTATTTCGGGTGTTTTCCTAGGACATTTTTGTACTAAATATACACATGGGTCGTTTGCTTCTTAGTTTGTGCTTCCGACTGCTTATGGAATGTATGTTCCCCTGGGGAGGGTTTCTGGGACTCAGTGGAATAATTTATCTTGTCTTTTGTCTTGCTGACTCTTGTTCCATTCGCCAGTTTAGGTGATATCATAATCTCTTCAAATGTAACACTAGTTCACAAAAATAAACAATATTTCACTTTTCAATAGTAAAGTGACTTATTTGTTCTGTAGATGGACTTCTGCAGTTACATAGTATTTGAAAAACCAGTAATAAATAATTACTTTCAGCTAAACTTAGCCTTTCATTACTGTTGACCTACTGTATATGATAAAATCAATAGTGAATGAATTACCTGTTTTAGACCATTCCATTGTTAATTTTTTCCTTTCCTATTGTGTACATGCTTTGATATTACTGTGTAGTTTTTTTTCTCTCCCAATCGTTCTTTCTTTTTTTTTTAGTACCTCAACTTTTATTGTTATGCTCTGCATCACGTGATCGTATGATTCATATATTTGATCCGAATAAAGAATATTCTCGTGTACAAACAATATCTGATCACTCAGGTGCTATATTTTCTGCAAAAATTATTGAAACAGATGATGGTGAAATTCGTTTAATCTCTTGTGGTATGGATAAATCATTATTATTTAGAATACTTGAAGTAAGTATACATATATATTTATGCATTCTGGCGGTAAAATGTAACTACATTGTAATGTCTAAATATAGTCAATTTGAGTGTGTTTTTTCTAACTGTTGATACTACATTTCTATTGTATAGTGAATTCGATTATAAACTTATAATTGAATTTAGAAAAAAGATTTGAAGTAGATAGGGCTATAGCTTTAGTATTCTATGCAGTAGAAAAAAGAACCCGTTTATTTCTTCTGAGTAACTTAAAATGGGACATTTCATATTTTGTGAAATAATAGTAAAATGATGTAATTTACTTTCCAAGTGCCTATTTATCTAATCTATATTGAGTTATATCTTTGTTGTATTATATAGATTTATATTGCTTCTCAATTAATAAATTCAATGTACAGGTGGTAGAAGATTCGAACTGTGTTCTTCACTTCATCCATTCTGTATGTGTTACGAAATTTTAATTAATATACACTAAGTGTACGGTAAAAAAGGAACAACTAAATGGATCTTTTTAGTGAATAACATAATTTTAACTGAATATTTAATATCTTGTGATTACAATATAGTTGCAATTAATGTGGTAAATTATATCACATAGTTGATTATGAAAGTAGTATTATCAAGAATATATATTTATTGTTATGATTTTGTGTCCGGCTTTTATCAGGTGAATTATCCACTAATCGAAATACGACTTTTCCAATCTTAACAATGTGCCAAATCAATGACGTTCAACTGGTATGAGCAGTCTGGCGTTTTTATTAGTCCCTTATTCGCTTAGCCTTTCAATTGAGTCCAGAACATCAATTAAAGCTTCTGCTATGCGAATCATTTATTTCAAGCATACTGGGTTTATTTACCAGAGAGACAGACCGCATTACACCATAAAATAGAAAATAATATTTGTACAAGATCAAGCCGAATGTGGCTGTGGACGTGGGAAACAGTAATCAATAAACTGAGTATAATTTAGGATCAGTAATTCGTATAATATTAATTCAGAGGTCAAAATGAAGCTTGTATTAAGATGAATATAGATATACACAATCTAATTACTCAATAGTTAAACAATAAGAAAATATATAGAATAACAGTCCATTATTAGGTCCTGGAAGTTAACTGTACTTACGTCTTCATTAGGATATAACATTTATTATTTGATCTTTTATTTATTTTGAACTTTTTTCCTAAATTAAAGCCTGATGAATCCGGTCAAACAGCACATTTTGCACTTGAACATCATTTAGTTGGACGTCATTCTCAATTAGACGCTGCTATTACACCAATGTTACCTAGTTCAATAGAAAATCGAATAAATTCCACGAATCGAAAACGTTATTTAGCCGTTGCATGTCAAGATAGAAGGTTACGAATTTATAATGTTGTCACTGCACGTCCTATACGATGTTATCGTGGAAGTTATACTGAAGATGGTTTTCTAGTTCGTTGTTCAATTGACCCAACTGGATCACTTATTGCAACTTCAGGTAAATTTTTCAAGGGCATGTCCGTTCAAACTAACTTTTTTCACCCCAGGATTTTTTGGTAAATATATTGTTTCAAATGTTTGTGTTTGGCGAAACGAAAAAGATCATCTTAACTTTGTGTGATAAACAGTTTTTGATGATAATCATATTTATTTCACAAGAGATGAGGTTTTAAATTGTTAGTTTGAGCCTAAAATATTATTCTCTTTCTCATTTAACAATAATGAATCGTTACAGCAGCTGAAAACGTTTGTACATATTAAAATTTAAACTTTCACTCTCCAATTTTGTAGCGATAAAGTTTAAAAAATTTGTTTTTCAAAGGATACGATCCTTGGGTGTTACTTTAGCTGTTTTCAGTTACCTGCTGACGAATAAATTTTACTAGTTTGGATCAGTGGTGATAAATATTTAGCTGGTTTTATTTCGGTATTATAATATCAGATTAATTCATGGAATGTTTGTGGTAATACTCAAAGCTGATCATATTTCAAGATGGAGTTAACAGTTTGTTTACAAATCCAAAGGTTCCCAAGTTCTACATTAGGGAACCTCATGTATTTGTAGTACAAGAAAGACTATTCATTACTTGTTCGGTTCCTATTACTTTTTTTCTTGGGGTGTATTCATAGTGAAAAAACCTATGCTTTAAAATAAATCATCGCTAACTAAAACTTATCTTCAAACTATACGATGCCCACACAAAATGTACTTAGTTTTCATAATATTCGTGTAAAAGGGTGATTGGTTTTTTAAATGAATTTTTTAAGGTTCAAATAAGAAACGTTGATTGTTGTTGTCAGACAAATTGAGAATGATACAATAAATTCACATCATCAGACTCTAGTCATGGTATATTATTGATTGACTGTCTATGCATACAATAGTAATAGTTCGGATACTAATTAGGTTTATCACACTAACGGAAGACCTTGAGTTCTATTTCATATGATTTCGATGGAATAAACTGTCATGGATTCTTGAACTAAATTGATTCATTCACTAAGTACCAGTTTCAAAGGTAATAAAACTGCCTGGTTGCCCGAACCGAAATAGGTAGACAGGAGTTCAAACATGGGTCTTAGTAACCAAAAATCGAACGCTTTGGACATTAAACCATCACCGTTATCGAATTACAATGAAATAGCCATGCAGTGTTCTGGCAATATTCATTAACCTAACTAACATCAGCTCATGATTCAAACATGTATGTTTGTTCGTTAACTGTGGTCATTTTTCAAAAGTGATGTTCTATTCATAATCATTTTCGCTTACATATATTTGATCAACATAATTATTGATTGCATCTTACTTCCACTTAATTTTATTATTATTTAAATTATAGGTTCAGATAAACAGTTGAATATATTTCATTTACTCACGGGTGAATCAATCGCTACATTATACGGTCATTCAGAAATGTGTTTAGGCTTAAAATTTCTGCCTAATCTACGTTATTTAATATCGGTTAGCGCTGATAGTTGTATATTTGTTTGGCGTTTATCAACAAATTTAGCACAATATTTACATGAACGTATCACTACATCATGTATGTTGAAAAATATATTGGGCAATTCCATTAGTTATCCTCAATTAGATGGAATTCCATTAGAAATGACGAATACAAGACTAAAAAGTGGTAGAGAAGATAGCCATGGTTTGTTAAATATTAATTGTTCCGATTATTCTCATATTCTTAATGATGATAATGTTGATGTTGACACTAAACGAAATATGACATCTCGAAAATATACTAGTAAACACAACAACAGTAATAATAATGATGACGGTGTTCTAAATGATTGTAACAGTATGTTATACAACAGTGAAATGAATGAATATGAGAATGATGTTGACGATGATAATGATCTCGATAACTATGGTGATGATGATGATAATGACGTAACATCATTTAGTCAAACAATGCCTCCGTCTGAATGGAATGAATCACTCGCAGAATATGATAAAATTGAGAACTTGGATGATGATGATGATGATGATGATGAGAATGCCGATGATGATAATCATGGGGAAGATAGTGAATTTGACGCGTTTCCTTTAGACGATGTATTATCAGTTAATGTTACAAATCCTGTTACTTTTCAAATGAATCATTTGATGAATAAGCGTATTGTAATGAAACATAAATCTGTTGTCGAGTAAGTAATTTTTCATAACTTTCTTTGATTATCATTTTTTCAAAGGAATTATTATTTTGGATCGCTTCTATTGTATTATTTTCCGTGTAGGATAAAGTGCTTTTTGATTGGCTTAATACTAAGAATCCGTCAAATTACTAGTTTTGTGACCCAAAAGTAACTTTACAGACTGATATCGTATCTTGTTTTGGCAGCTTCAGATTTTTAGCGATTCATTTCTATCCTAATCCAAATAACTCACAAGTTTAGATGTCCGTTAAATACGCGTAACAGCAAGTCAACTCACTAGTTCCCTGTGTAACTAATATACCATCTCTACTCAATACTCTATGCTTAACTTCTGCAGTAATCACTTTATAATCATACTACTTCCTTCATCAGTATTTAAAAAATACTTATATTGGTTTACTGGTTAACCACTTGACTGTTAACTATGAGGTCACAATTTTCCAGTCTCATTCCAACTAATCCAGTTAAAACAACAAAGAGAGAAAGTATCACTAGGATTCACGCAAAAAGATTGTTGGTCAAAGACGATCATTTTATTAATGGTAACTAATTAACTTAATGATTTCCTGTAACAATAGGTTGAAGGTTCAAATTCAGTACCTCCCTCCTTGTTTATCAATGATGCTGCCCAAGCATGTAAAACTTTCCACTTCTCTCAGAACTTCTTCACCAAGTGTGATTTAGTCGGTACTCTTTGTGTTGTATATTATGAGTTTTCTTTTTCCCTTTTGTATGTTCATTTTATTTTACTTCGTTAAGATATTTCATTTTTTTGTTTCTTTTTCTAACATTGCTGTAGCAATAATAATAAGAATATTTTGTCTGCCAATCACTTGATTAAATCTCAAGTTTCCTCTTCCACTACTACTACTACTACTACTAATTGTAGTGGTGGTAGTAGTGCAGCTACAAATTCCGTCAATCAAAATAGTAATGACAATGATATTAATGGCAGTAGTAGTAATCGTAATGCGGGAAAGAAGCCGGAATTCTATTTTAGTGTTAGCGCACTTCCAGCTTGGGCACGTAGAAAGGTAATATAAATGGTGTTTATAATGATAATTTTTTTTGAATTATAATCAATATTTATCGTCTAGGTACTGAGGTTTTATGGACATACTTTTAGAGACAATGCAAGTTTTAACAAAAGAATCTAGATCAATATTCTATGTATCATGTTACGAAAACAATCGATCTCGGATTCGAGTTTTTCAACTATGTGTATCCGTTAATCTGATGCAGTCGCTGGCTATTAGCTTCCGCTCTCTCAGCTTTATGGAAGTAGCCTGTTAAAGGCTGTAAACTTACAGCTATGTGGGAGCACCTGAATTGGAATGGGAAACTTACCATAAACTTGCATCATAATTTTTTCTTCCAAAATTCCCCCGAAATATAATGACAGAAGCAGCAAACGATATGCCATACTTGATAACCTAAAGCTGAAACCCACATGTGGAGTCGTGATTGTTCACATCTGAGAGGTTCAAAACTGGGATAAAGCATTTGTCGTATAGTGTTTAATCTCCATCTTTTTCCTCAGTTGATGTCAATTCGTTGTGAAAACTAACTTCTAATCGGTCGTTTCAAGTCAGTAAAATTCACTATATTTATAACCCAGAGAGTTTGGAAATCTCCTAGTTGTAGCCACTAATCAATTTTTTAACGGTGTTTTTTTCAAGTTATTCTTGAAGTTGACATTTTGGATGGATTAAAATTAGAAACTATCATTCTCTTGTAACTATTTTAAGGTTTTAAATTCATATAAAATACATCATATGAGTGTATGATTGTAAACATTTACTTTTTAGCTTATAAATACATGTAATCAGATTTTATTGTTGCTATTCTATATGGGAACAGTAGATTTAATTTCGATAAAAACGTCATCTAAACACGAGATTAGAGAGCTTATTTAGCTTTTGTCAACTTGCGAGAAATCCGTTTGCTAACTTAACGACCAGTTTACTGCCTAGTTGCTCTCTCTGTTCTGCTTTATGGCTGTCCAATATAGTCCTTAGAAATAGATATTCGTAGATTACTATTATCCGATCATAGATGTTTTCGAAGCGTTGTTTGTATTCTTTCGGGTCATCGAGTTAGCAATTCTGAGGTTAGACACAGTATTATATAAATATAGCTAGTCAATCGACGAGAAAGTGAATCTTTACCAACTGAAATGAGAAGGACATATATCAAGTATACCCATTCAACGACTGCCTCCGAGCGCGGTGTTGGTTGGTGTAGAATTAGGTTGGGAGAAAGATACGGGTAACCAAACCAAGGCATAGCATCAGTCAATGAAGACATTGACCGTGTTGGTAAGTGGAGACAACCTGGTTGGCGTCTGCGTGATTATCTTAATTAATTGTTATATCCCCTGGTGAATTATGAATGGTAACTCTAAGGACTATTTATCGACCAATATATTATGCCTATTTCCTATTGTGCAATTGTTATGTAACTAAACTATTCATATTCGTAGGTATCATTACCAAGAATTGATTTGATAATTTTGAATAAATTGAGCATTGGGTAGATTGTTATAAATAAATTATATATTTGTAATATCCCAATGAGTAGAAAAATTAGATTTTCTGACGTTTCGTGACTCAGTGTAAGCCACTTCTTCAGAGAATAAATAACCAGGTTATTTATTGGGATATTACAAATATATAATTTATTTGTATTCATATTCGTGTTTCTCTTATCATTAGCTTTATTTTGACCTTGACTTATTATCATACGATTCTTGAGTTATAATCAGTTTATTGATTACTTTGGTTTGTATAAAACCCCAGTGTGCTTGTAAATAATGATTCATATTGCCGAGGCTGTTATTTGTGTTCTGGACTTAACTGGCTGGGCTAGGCAGAAAGCAGGGCCGATACGCACTCAAGACCGCTCGTACGATTTTATGTATCATTGTGCCGATCAGTAAAATCTACTACCTCTCTAATTGCACGTTCATATATATTACGAGTCCATACGTTATAACATTAATGCTTAGAGACTTTAAATGACACGGCAGTTTCATCTTAGTGTGGGACTATTCAACGGTTCGCAGCCAGGACCCCGAACATATGACTCGAACTCAATACCTTCAGCCTAGCGCACGAACTCCTAATCTCTAGAACACTGGGCCGGGATCCGACGGTGCTAATATTTAACTCTTATCAGTGTATGTTATTGTTGAATTCATTTAATTAGTATATTGTATATATATATATATAGGCCTTTCATATTTTAATCTATTACCGTTTAACTTTTATCGATTCATTCAATATATATATCTTTAGCTGAGTCGTCGTGAATCAGTGACCATTACCCCAACCTCTTTGACACAGGTGATAAACATATCTTTATGTTTCTTTGTGTTGTCCGTTTCAATCATGTGACATTTTATCGTTCTTCTTCTGCAGTTGGGTTTATGTAACCAAACCGATATCATTGTTACACATATTTGGATTGTTTGCTTATTTGTAATTTTGTTACTAACTGAATAATTTGACCCATGTTGCATAGAAGTATATAGATTGTTTGTTTTCTGCATGTTTATTGAGATATTTCTTCACTGTTCTCACTTTTTGTTTCTGATAATTTAACTGCATAAGAATAACAATAAGACTTACACTACGTTATTAATGCTTACGATTAAATGGTGCATGTACGTATGCAAACCAACTTCAACTATCATATTATTATCGTTGTTCGAAACCAAATTATTACCCTGTCTTTACAAAGCTCATTATGATTAGCAAATTATAAAAACTGCACTTACTATCACAGTTTCCTTCAATCCTTTTTAGTGTTCATCTACACATTACATTCAGCATGAAAAGCTCTGTTTTGCAAAAAAGTCTTTTTCATTCCGTGTTCGTTATTTATGATTATTGGAATGTTATAATTATTATCGTTGTTTGTTTTAGTATACAATAAGTTCAATTAAATTTGTACTTGTAGCATCGGTTATTCATTTTGCTTCATTTTCAGCACATACCATAACAAAGTGTAAATATATTGTTTGGTTAAACAACATATTACTTACCCATAGTTTCAGTCAGTCAGCTACAACGTAGGACCAGGCACATTTATGCATCGGTCCAAGTTGCCATACCTCGTTAGCACAACAAGATGAACACCGGATTCATAGAAGTAATTAATTTACTGGTGGTAGTAGTATATAAATTATAGGTTGTATATAAGGATATAGTACAGGAAGGAAGAGAGATATGAAGCCATTTTAGTCTCAAGGTTTAAAGGAAGATAAAGAGTGTATACACCTACGCCATTGTGATCGATTCTGAGCCATGTCACCTAGAGTCCCCAACCAGATAGTCTGTATCTGCCAACATGGCTCAGACTAGAAGTTAGTGACTTCAAGCACTGATGCCATGTTTTGGTTTGGCCGCCCCTAACTCTCTTCCAACAATCCCCTACACTAGTCAACATTGCGCGTCGTGGTAATCGGTGTTCAGGCATACGTAACACGTGGCCCAACCATCTCAGTCGATGAAGATTCATCACCTCATCAACTGATTTACCATCGTTCCCTAATACCCTGTGTCTAACCTCACTATTACTTACCCGGTTATCCCAGCAGATGCGAGCAATATTTCTAAGGCATCTGTGGTCAAATACTAGTAACCTACGAGTATCTTCTACTCTTAATGGCCATGTTTCACAACCGTAAAGTAGAACGGAGCGAACTGCTGCGCATTATACTCGTCCTTTAATTGATAGACGGATATCTCGTACCCATAGTTTAGAAAGTTACTAATTATTTACAGGTTAATTTTATGATCATGTACTGTTTTTTTTGTACAAGCTTTCTTTAGTTGTTGCTATACATCAATTTGTACATTAACTTGATTACGACTTACACATATGACAAAATTTTTTATATTTTTTTAATTCGTTTTTGTAAATCCTTATTGACTTAATTTTAAACTGTTTGCTTTTTTCTCTCTCAAATTTGGGTCTATCTATCTGTATAGTAGCTTCTTTTTATTATTTAGGTTTTGAATAGTGAATTTGACGTGAATGGATCAGATTCAGCTAGTCAAACCTCTGTAGGAAGTGGTCCAATATTGCCTGTATCGACTAGATGTTCTGGTTCCCATGAAACAATACCTAACTGTGTTTATCCATTGTCATCATCAGTCACAGCAGCAAACAGAAAATCAAAATTTACTCGTGTTCGTGGCAAAACATCAACTGACGACATTTCTAAAAGAGTTAGTCGGTTTAATGACGTTATTATTTCACTGCGTAATTATTTCTAGTCAATTTTTTTAAAATGAAGGTCAATAAACAGTAGATTCCCACTAAATTTTATGAGTCGTAGCTACTCTTGGTATTAGGAATCGGGTCGAGTTATTAATATGTTCTTTTTGATTTTCTATACTGAAGCTTAACTTTTCAGAGGAATTCCTGAATCACATATGAACTTAGATTGTAAGTTTGTAGCTGGGTAAACATTCGACTTACTTTAATAATTTTGGTTATTGGACAGTTGGATAATATTTTCAATTCTCACATTCAAAGCCTAGTACTGGAGTATGAAGGTTTATGATACTATCCGATTACCCAAACTGAAGTAGTTCGGGCGGGGTTTGAACGTTGAACTTAGTGGTTAAAAATCGTACACCTGAATCATTAAACCACTCCTCTAAGAGCCTTATAAGGAGATATTTTGTGCTTGTAAAAATAATTTATCACTTGGTAACATTATTTTGACGGATGGTTTTATTAAAAGTACTGACTAACGAATCTCTTATACGATGGTACTACCGCTATTTCATTCGATTGAGTATTTCAATAAACAACAATTCAGGCTCACACTGCTATGTATTATTCTCTACTCCAATTTGCCTAAACGTTGAAATGATAAATTAACACTGAGGAAAATATGTGTTTTCGTTACATCTGATGACACAATAGAAAGTTTGTCGGTATATTTTATCATGACTTTGACAATCATCTACCAGCAAAAAAGTAACTAGAGAGCCAAATAAAGTTTTCTCATGTGACATACAAATTCCGACATGATTTATTTGACAGTTAAGTTTTACTAAGTGATTTTGGAGAAATTGTTAAGAAATAAATCCTTTTTCAACACAATCTAGTCTGTTTATTTGCTAAGAGGTTTCAAATTCTTTGTTATTGGCTATTAAAAATCGTAATTATGATCCAGTATAGTTTGGATTCCTGGAGTACTTACAGTAGATTATAATAAACAACTTTCCTGTTTTGAAAGTAATTTGTTTCACTCGTGAAATGGGATATTTTTGAAAGTGGTTATTAACATGGTAAATTTTAAATATTTGTATCACTTGATGTTATGACTTCTAATTAGATGTTGATGCAGTTTTTCAACAGAGTTTGATAGTTTCTAGCAGCGGGATCTACGACTTGCGTCCCATCCTGCTTGGAGCTCATCAGATGAATATGTCTGCACTTAGTGGTAATCGAGACTTTAACTCAGTATCCTTGACTCCAAGCACCTAACTCGTTATCTACTTAGCTATTGAGTCTAGATAACCAGTAGCTTGTGCAACAGACATGAATTTGTTACTCATTTCTGAGAATTTAAGTCTTCCTGTTGTTTATATTAAGGATTGTAATTGATCAGTCTTTTTAACATATATATCCAATCTTAGCGGATTGCCTTGATACTATCATTAAGTCACAGTGATTGTTGAGCAGAGCTTTTTAGTGGCTCGGATTGATGTCGATTACACCCATATGCCAAAAGAGACTAATCTGATACAATTCATAACACCAACAACTCTTAGAAATGACTCAAAATTTGTTACATTTTGTTGTGAATTACTTTACCATCATACATACTTGTTTGATTGAATTATCAAGAATTATTTGATTATTTGAAGATTTTTATCATACATAAGAATGCAATGAAAAATCATAAGATATTTGTAATGGCCTAATAAGTAAAAAATTGAATTTGTCATGTTTCGTGACTTAGTGTAGGTTATATCTTCAGAGACTAAATAAATAGTCGAATTGAATTAACACCACAAAATACATAGTACAACCAAAAAAAGCTTAATCAAGTCTTTTCAACACAGAATTTTGTCTGTTAATTAGATTGTGTGGATTGTGACACATTTATTGGATAGTCGTCTTGTGAAACTTGAACTAATAAACATTTAAACTACACAAAAAAGACCTAATAATCACATAGAACATAAGAGGCTCCAAATAAACCGTCCATAGTGGTACATATTTTTCTTTAGTAATCAATTAATTCATATGCAAAATATCAAAAAACTTCTCCCAACTACAAAGAAAGGCGAGTCGCTGAAGCTTTTCGTTTATTGCTAAACTGTACTGAGCTCAATAAAAAATAGAAGACTTGGACTATTTATTCAAACAACCATATTTACTTCTATTCACACCTCATATTATTACACACACGGACAAATTTAACCCTATTCTTTCATATTACAAATACCACATTTTTCACACCCACTAACATACAAGTATACAAGCATGTCTTACATAGGATCACCTTGACCGAGTAACATGGAATTGAGTTGATCAGGTTTATTGTGATTGTACTATGTGTTTTTCTTTGTTCTTTTGTACTATTTAAACTTGTGTTAATTTAATTCGATTATTTATTTATTCTATGAAGGAACGACTTACACTGAGTTATAAAATATTGAAAATTCACTTTACAACTCATTAGGATCTTACAAACACATCAGAATATTTCATTGATATTCAATTCAGTCATTTGAACTGGTCAAGTCAATCATTGGTATTGATATTCACACAACATTGTTTGCTTTAATATATATATATATCAAGTATATTTGAGATTAAAATATCATTCGAATGTTCCTTGATGGATTGATTTGGATTTCTCATTATTATAAGTAACTGTTTCAGATGATTAGGAAATTTCACAATTTTCTTCGTATTATAAACATGAACTAATGTTGATGATGACGATTTGTAGTTCAAATAGATGCTTTCAATGATTTTGAGTTACTCTATGCTGAATGATTTAAATTTTTTGTTCTGAATAATGTCACTAGTGAGTTGTACATTAAGTAATAGTAAGTTTACGGATTAATGTTTTTGAAATTAGGTTTGCCAACTTAGTGATTGTAACACAGAATCATTGTGTCATGGTTAATATTTATTGGACAATAATCATTGTATTTCCTCTACACTTATATTAATATCGCAAAAGTTATTTTTCAATTTTATGCACATTTTATTTTACTAAAAGGATATATTAACACCAGTGTCTTGTGCTACCACTACTACTGTTGTATCATCATCTGTTTCACAATCGACAATCTCAACCAATAACCATAATCATACACTTCATTCACAAATGTCTCGATCAGAATACAACACTAGAGAATATTTTCATTTTCATCCGAATGATGAAATCAATTCTAACGAACAAATAATTCATGAAAGAAAAAACAATTGGTTTACGCGTGCTGTTTCCGCTCCGGACACACCTCGTTCTTGGAAAAAGGATGCTTATAGCGTAGATAATAAACGAAATATGGTAACAACAGGATTAACAGCAACAACGACTACTACTATAAGAACACGGAAGATAATTGACAGTTCTGCCAAAAAACTTTATCCTACTCAAAGAACTGTGGAAGCATCTTCCATCAATCGAGTCTCTACGCAAAATAGACCTAAGGACTTGGTTAGTTTTTAAACGAATATTTGATTCCACGTGTAGTGATTCAGGATTGTTGTGTGTATGATTAGTGTTTTTACTACTAATGTAAAATAGATACTAAAAACAGCAATAAAACTATATAAGGGCTGGATTTTCAGCAGGCGATCTATAAGCAAACATGACTCATTTACTCAAAATAAACATCACTGTTTATTGACGATATTTTTGTTTTCAGAAATGTCGAACTTAATTTGTAAGTAATAATAATTGAAGTATAATCCGTAAAGTTTCTTATATTCTTTTCAACTAGTAAATTGTAATTCTAAAAAATAAACATAGAAAACAAATCGATATTAATTTATCATAGAAATATTCGATTATGTTCTTATTAGTGTGGTATTACGTAACAGTCGAAAGGTTGAAGAAGTCAATGTTCATACATCATTAAATAACTGGCTCGGCCTAGTAAATATTTTCATAAAGGTGGAGACAATATTATGACAAGTATTGGCAACAACCAGTCGTATTCATTGTCGATAAAACCGGCTGTTAGTCATGTATGGTTAAATTCTAATAGCTTACTTCCTTTTGCAGTTTTTGCTGGTGTTGTCTAGGAGGATGAATAACGCTGTACGATTAAACCACTCAACTCAACTAATACATCTTCATCAACACCATCCTCCTAAGCTACTAATTTTCTCCACTATCTTAAGCATAACCATTTTTTTCGCAAAAACATTTCCTAGTTGTTTCTTACGCTTGTTTGGTTCCCTCTGTCTGGCACTGTTTGTTAAGTGTGGTGGGGTCGTATCACCATATCAATATCTATAATTAACCGAAAATTTTTGTAAAAACTAAAGTTTTATTCAATCAAAGTGTCTTTTCGATAGTACACTTTTTGCGGCCTTCATAAATCCCTCTGGCTGTACGTAAACCCACCAAATGTAATGTATATATATATATTTTTTTCGTTCTATTCTGGATGTAAAATCTGTATAAGGCGTAGTAAAAAAATTCGGGAACAAGTGCTTGATGTTTAGTGTTGTCATTTTTCAAATATTATACTTCGACCAATATTGTAACATCACTTGTGTTTATATAGAAAGTGTAGCTTTAAGCTGATGACATAAATCTCTACCTGATCATTGAGTTCTAGTTTTCCACGAGGTTGTTTACTCTATTTCAAATTAAAACAGTTTTATCAAACAATGTAAATAATGTTCCCATCAATTAGATCAATTGTAAAGTATTTATAAATAGGCTAACTTTCTTCTTTCAATGTCACTTTTTTTCATCTGTATTCAGGCTTTAGAACAGTTCACACCACCAACACATACCTATGAAGTTTGTGCTAATCGATTATTAATAAATGAGTCGATTGCTGGTGGAGATTGTCCGAACGCATTGCCATTATTTAACAGACCTAAAAATAAATCATCTCAACAACGGTCTTACTCGGCTACACAACTAATTCCCTCAAGGTATGAGATCATGTTTTTTTGTCAAGTAAAAATATTCTCAAAAAAGTTAATACTCAGATTCACCATTCATAAGTATATTGAGTCTGCTTCAATCTGTTCGGTTTCATCTAACGGAAAATACAAAATCACATTCAATAACAAACGGGATCAGTAAAACATACCATTTACACTCATTATCATTAGAATATATTCTACTAACATTGATGGTTGAATGAAATCAGCAGAAAGTATTGCATGTTCTGCGTTTTATTCTCGTTAGCGTTCAGTCTGCTAGGTTCTTGTCGAACCTTTAGAAAACTTGTTTCGTCTATTGACAAATACACTTAGCTCAATTGTAGTTAGTGACGTTGTTATCGATATAACTTTTTTGTGATTGACTTTTTGTACTGTTGAATCGATTTTACACCTGAGTAGTTTACGAATAGTCAATATTTAAACAATTTAGTATAGGACACTCCCGTATGGTTAACTAACTTAGCCGATACTATTCTAGTTTCAGATAAAAAGGAACAGTCATCGAATCAATAGTGAAAAGAATGAGGTACATATTACAGAATCACTTTGATTTATCCCTTAAAAGTACTAGATGTATGATATTTACACTTTTTTGGATCTTCATTCACACAGGTTTATATTTGGTACAGGCGACTGTGAATACTTTTTCTTAAATTCCCACTTTATTGATCAAAGTAGTTTTTTATTTGTTTCTTATATTTTATGTAATATTTTTTTCAAGAACTGGTTACTTTTGTACACTTTGAATTCATCTTGATCAACAACAAATGTGAATAAGTAAGATATCTTGACTAATCTGAATTTTCTCTTTATTGATATGACTGAATGACTTGTTTTGATAATAAAGAATAAATTGATCATCAGCACAGCGTGTCTGAGCTGCATAAATATCAGAAAACAACATCTGGTCTGTAATCGGGAAGGGTAGTTATTTAAAGTATAGTTCTATGTACATTTTTAACTAATCTAAATTATAATGAATGAATCTCGTCAAATGATTTATGCTGATTGGTCCAGTAACATCATAAATTACCTAATAGGATTATTCAGACCACGTAGTAGCATCAATCAAACTTTACTTGAATACATCTATTACATGTACAGACAACTGATGCTAAATAGATTTCAAACCTTTACTAAATTATGCTACTTTTCATTGTGGTTATTTCTAATTATCCAGGATTTTATAGTTTTTATTTTCGAACAAATTAAAGTTTCTTTTAATATTTGGAATTAACTACCTCTAATTTGTTTTGTTGAGCCAACAACTCAGTTTCCAACTTTTCTGTTTAGAAACAAAACTTTTAGTTCTTCTCTTGTGTTCACACATTTTTGTTCTTTTTTTTACAGTACCTTCGTTGGTTCTTTTCCTTTCATTACATCTCTCCTATTCTTTTTGTTTTTCTGCTACTGTATTTCATAATATTCAGCATCACCTTTTGTTGAGCGGTAATAACTTTTTTCTAGCGTAATTAGGTTTAACTGTTTTAAACATCATGCAGTGCATGGATGGAAACGCGCATACAAGATCCGAGTAGTGTCATTCATTTGACCGCACCTAATCAAAATAAAGTTTCATCTCGATACACGCTCCGTGTATCTGGAAGCCCTGACGCTGCTTCCCGTGGCCTCGCTGGAGTAGGTATAGCATTAAGTCCTAGGGCAGAACTAGCTCTTTTAGACTGGATCCCAGTAGACAGTCGTCTATGCGCTGTCCGACTAAACGGATCAGTAAGGACCCGGAAAGATAGGGAAACTCGTCGTTGCCTCTTCGTCGTCTCTGCCTACTCTCCCACTAACTGCAGCTCAGACGATATAAAAGATGAATTCTACAGGAAACTTTCTGACCTTCTCCGAGAAGCTAGGCGTTCTGATGTAGTAATAGTAGCAGGTGACTTTAATGCTCAAGTAGGTAAACTAAGTGAAAGGGAAAGACACCTGGGTGGATCTTATGGTGTCATGGCGAAAAGAACAGATAATGGCGACCGTCTGTTGCAGCTGTGCTCAGATAACCGCCTATTTCTTGCACATACTAACTTTAAGCATAAGGAAAAACATCTTTTGACATGGCGACCCCCGAATTCGTCTCAACGTTGGACCCAACTAGATCACATCGCTATCAGCCACCGATGGAGGGGCTCGATAGAAGACTGTCGCTCATTCTGGGGCACATGCTTAGATTCAGATCATGCTCTAGTGCGAGCACGTATCTGTCTGCGTCTTACTGGTCGTAGGAAAGACACTTCAGGGAAGCCTCTAAAGGTTCTACTTAATGATAGGCAAGCTAAGAATATATTTCAGGAACAACTAGAAAAACAGTTAGGCAGCCATGTAAGTTGTGTCCACCCCGAGGCAGCGTGGAATGACATCCGAAAAGTTGTGGAAATAGCAGTGATATCCGCTAGTAAAGTAAACCATAACGTTAGGGAGAAACAATGGATCTCGGCAGCATCTACCGCACTGATAGATGCTCGTAAACTCATCCCACCTGGCTCTGAGCATAACGAAGAGCGGAGTCAACTTAAGCGCAGGCTTATAAGAAGTCTACGTAATGATCGTGAACAGTGGTGGGTAGCGAAAGCAAGAGAGATGGAAAAGGCAGCGGCAATAGGTAACAGTAAGCAGTTATTCAGACTCGTTAAAGAAACCGGTATTAGGAACCCGAATATCAGTGAAACCATCTCAGATAAAGATGGGCATATTATTCATTCTCAATCCAGGAGATTGGATCGATGGGCAGAGCACTTTAGGGATCAGTTCAACTGGCCTTCAGCCACTCTTCAATTACCCACGATCCCCAGTCGTCCTGAATGGCAAATTGATGTAAGTCCTCCAACCCTCTGTGAGGTTGAAAAAGCTATAGGAAATCTGAAGCCAGGGAGAGCAGCAGGCCCTGACAGGTTGACCCCTGAGATTTTTAAGGATGGTGGTCCAGTACTAGCAGTGAAATTGACTGAGGTCTTAGGTAGAATCTGGGAACTGGACGTAATTCCATCTGACTGGTCCCAATCACTGATTGTGCCAGTCTATAATAAAGGACAAAAGTCTTCCTGTGACAATCACAGAGGGATCAGTTTGACTAATATAGTGTCTAAAATATTAGCTTCAATAATACTAGGTCGCCTAACCAAATCTCGTGAAGAGCAGACTAGAGAAAACCAGGCTGGTTTTCGACCTGGACGTGGTTGCATAGACCAGATATTCACCCTACGTCAGGTTCTAGAACATAGACACAAATTCAGACGTCCCACAATAGTAGTATTTCTTGACCTTAAGGCGGCATTTGACTCTGTTGATCGTGAGGTTCTATGGCAATGTTTGTCACTGAAAGGAGTACCAAAGAAGTACATTAACCTTATAAAGGCTCTCTACTCGGACACAACTGGTCGAGTTAGAGCCTATGGCGAACTGTCATCAGAACTGATTACCACAAGTGGCGTTCGTCAGGGCTGTCCACTCTCCCCATTCTTGTTTAACTTTGTCATTGACATACTTTTAGAGATAGCACTTTCATCAGCTAAACCTCCAGGAGTTGAACCTTTACCAGGAGGCTCACTCGTTGACTTAGAATACGCCGACGACATAGTTTTACTCGGTGAAGGTGCTGACAATATGCAGAGTCTTCTGACCACTATAAGCAACTATGCAGGCATGTTCGACATGCGATTCTCTCCCTCGAAGTGGAAAATGTTACTTCAGGATTGGGTTGCATCGACACCTGAACTAATGATAGGGAGTGAAGTAGTTGAGCGTGTAGACCACTTCACTTATCTTGGGAGTCTCATCGGCTCTTGTGGTCTGGTATGTGACGAAATCTCAGCACGGATACAGAAGGCTCGTCTAGCTTTCACCAACTTGCGTCATTTATGGCGTAGGCGAGATATCCGTCTAGCAACCAAAGGACGGGTTTACTGTGCAGCAGTTCGCTCCGTCCTACTCTATGGCAGTGAAACATGGCCAATAAGAGTAGAGGATATTCGTAGGCTACTAGTGTTCGATCATAGGTGTCTTCGAAGCATTGCTCGTATATCCTGGGACCACCGGATAAGTAATGCAGTTGTTAGGAAACGAGTACTAGGTAGGGATGGCAAATCGATTGATGAAGTAGTGAAACTTCATCAGTTGAGATGGCTGGGACATGTGTTACGTATGCCCGACCACCGACGTGCAATGTTTCATGGTGTAGGAGTAGGTTGGAAGAAAGCTAGGGGTGGCCAGACCAAAACGTGGCACAAATCAATGAAGTCACTGACAAGTGGACTGGGCCATGTTGGTAGGTGTAGACTACCTGGTTGGGATTCGCGAGATGACAGCAACCGATGGTTAGAGACCTTGAATGACATGGCTCAAAATCGTTTCCAATGGCGAAGGTGCATCCACTCTTTGTGTTCTACCAAATTCTAATCTTTGAATTTCTCATGTCTTTATCTTTTTCTCTTTCCAAATTTATTTCATTGTACTATACTCCTTCAATAATTTCTTCAAACCCTAATCTTTTGGATTTCTGATTATACTCCTACTACTTCTACCACTATGGGATTTGAATCGACAACTGCATCTCTGTGCTAATGTGGTATGGCAACTCGAACTGATGTACGTACGTACGAAGTTCTACGTTGTGACTGACTGACTGATATCTCCCTACAATGACCATTTTTTCGTGTATATGTATGGAAAGCAATAGTTTTTTTACTTTGTTTATAATTCGATGATATTTATCTTCTGAACTATATGACAATCAATTGTAATTGAAGGTTTTCCTAATTCACGAATGCATAATCATAACGATTGGTAAATATTACAAGTTAATGTTATACAACAAAAAGATGTAAGGAATCTGTGGTTTTTATTTTGATCTTTATCTTCATTCTTGATTATTCACTGTTTATTAATATAAGTCATCATTCAACATCGTCACCCATCTGTTTTAAATGTTTAATTTACTCTAATTATGAACCTGATGAATTAAGAATATTGGAAAACTAGGGAATAATGTTCAGCTGATCAGAGTACTTAGCAGTTTTTTCGCTTTGTTTTGGAATTCTGTAGCATTGTTTCACATAGTATCAAGCTTATAAATCTCAGGTGTTACTTTCAATGACCTGAATAGTCATAGCTATCAGTCCCACTTTTTATTTGGTGAATAAATATATTAAGATTTTGCGATTGTTACCCAGTTTTCTGGGACATTTATTAGTAAAATTATTGGTTAATTTATATAATGTTATCATTTGTAGTCAAGTTCTTCATATATATATATGGGAGGGGGTAGTGAATACAATTTTAATTTAATTCGAATTTATTTGGTCAGTTAGTTGACTAATTCATGACTCTTGTTAATTTAAGAATGATATTAAACTCTACTACCAAACAGGGGTTCATCATACTTTTGTTATTTTGTACCCTGCAACCTTAATGTTGTCCTAACGGTTAGTCTAACTGTGCAAAGTTTGTTGTACAATACATTGGTGGAGGCAGTTTTGCTTTTCGCTTGTTAAAATCGGTCTCTTTGAAGTAAAAGATGTTTGATGATGATTTTCTGCTTTCCTTCGTCTTTTTCTTTAAAAGATTATTCATATTCGGTGACAACATTGTGTTTTCTAAACAGTAGATATTTATTTGTTCATAATTTATGGTTCCGTTGATTAATCGATTAGAGTTTTCATTTTCTAATCAGTTTAAATGTACATAATATCTTATTTTCAAAAGCCATATCATCACTAAATGTTTGTCAGTTCAACTTTTCTAAGTTATTTCAAGTTTAAAATGAAGAAATAAAAAAGGAAACAGGCTTTCTGTCTACATCTTTTCTGAAAAAATTCATTTTTTATGAAATGATTTCTGTGGGTAGGCTATATAACTGTGTTCCGTGTTACTTATACGGACAGGTATAGGCATTATGCAACAGGAATCGGAAGTAAGATTCCTATAGACAGAAGAGGAAAATGAAAACTGGAAGAAAAACAGAAAGCAAGCAAAATGTCAACAGGAACGAAAGAACAATGGAGTTTGTAAGAGACTATTTGAGGAAGATGAGTAAATGGTGTATTCACTGTGTTGTTATCATATTTTAGAAATATGGCGTATCATTTTTCATAATACAGTAAATTGGTCTACTCTAATCAAGTCTTCATTCATTACATAGCCACTTGGAAGCTAGGCCTACTGACACTTTCAAAGGTGAATTCCTTGACGTGTTGATGCCAGTTGAATAGTTGTCATTGAAACTCACGGAGTATCGAAGTACTTCTGTTCCTTCATTTATTCACCACCTCCATTGTCACATATTTACAAATGACATGAAAAATGATCAAATCAAAGAAAAGTTGATTAAGTTTCAATATCTGAACTGATTAGGTTTTCAATTACTAAGTGATACAGCCACTTTCCCATTATATTGAATCAAATAATGCCTGTAAACATATCTCAAGATCTCAATTTTTCTTATCCTATATTATCCAAATATCTTGTAGAAATAAAGTCAAACTTCAAGAACGACGTCATGTTCGATCCCGTGCCAGTTGGTTTCCTGTTAGGTATATTCTGATACTGATTGTTGGAATTTGTGTTTGTGTGTTCATGCAGTAACCGCACATACATACATTAATATACCAATTTAACTAACCTCATTTTATTGTTATTATCAATGGATTGGTTCACTATTTTTGTTTTGTTTATAACTGATTTTAATAATAATAATAATGGGGAGTGAGTTTGTCAGTTGTGTATTCATCAGTTTATAATTTATCTTTTGTAACTCATAACCATTGGAATAATAAAACAATTCTATTTTGAAGTTCTAAAATATCATTAGATGTTTTTATCTTTGTGCTTTTGAATTATTGTGTTTTTTCCTTAGTTATTCAATATACAGTATAAATTAAGAATATAACATGACATCAGTTCATAGAGTCATTGAGAGTTAAGCTGATTCCTGTTGGTTCGTCTGGACGATTATCGTAACCAATAGTTGAAGATGTTAAGTGACATGGCCCAGGGCAGATTGCATTGGCGCATACATATTCCTACTATCTTGCTTTAAATCTTGAGTTTTAAAACTATTCTATTCTTTTTATACCATGAATTTATTCTTTCTTTTCAAATCAAATTATTTGTATCTAGTCATTCCTACTACTGGTGACACGCCTCCTGCTTTTACTACTCTAAGACTTGTTTAAAAGTTATTTCTTCTCTTGGTTCTGATATAGTTTGATAAAATGAACTGATGCAAATATTTATCAGATTCTACATTGTTTATAACTAACTGGCAAACTGATTGAGAATACTATTTCGTTATTTTAGAGTACCTATTGCTTTGTTGTGTAATTTTCTTCTCATTAAGTGAAAATACTATCGAAAATTAATATAATCTCTGTTTTTATAGTTAAAACGTGAGATTGTAGGACTTTGATTTTTCAATCGATGTAAAACTTAACACAATTAATGAATATCTGTACTTGTGGTGGTGATGGAAGGATGATTGATGCGTTTTTACTTTATATTCAGTTAATGTTGTATACAGTTGTTGACGACTAATTGGTCTTAACTATTTTGATACATCTCTATGACAGGATTGACCACTAATATCTAATTATATGGATGAGAACAATGAAATTTAATTGTTTTCTGACTTTGGCGTTTTCAGTGATGTTGCCTTCCCAAAACGGAAGGAGGGAAGCTAGCAAAGATTGACCCCGAAAAATAACACTTCATTTCACTACATAGATTTCCGATGCTGTTGGTAAAATGTAGACAGTACGGAGCCAATGTATCTAAGACAATTTGCAAAAAGGATGTTTGTGACTACCAACATCAATCGGCCACAAGGCTTTGCGGTCGTTTAGATCAGAAAACCCTGTTTCCTTTTCAGATTTCTCCAGAAAAAAATACCCTCACGCATTGTGGACAATCGAAAAGTGACAATCACACGCACATACCAAAAAGCGTTGAAGTTCATCTTGTCCCCCACTCCATCTTTTGATCCTGGTTTCAAACTCTTATGGTATCATTTGTGCATGTTATTAAGGTGTCCTAAACTAGGGTTAATCAACTGCCTGGTATCCTTCATCTTTTTTATCTGATGTTAGTTTATGAAGAAATCTACTTTGAAACTTAACATAAATTCCACAAATCAACTCAACTACCTGAATACAATTTTAGAATGAATAAACACTTTTTCCGATAATTAACAATTTTATCGAATGTGTATTAGCTCCATTCAAACTGTACTATTACAAACGTACATATGATTTTGTTGCAGAATAGTTGTTTATGTATACTTATGTATCAAATAATGACTTTAAAAAAGGGAATGATATATATGAAGGGGTTTTGTGGAGATTTTAGTAATTTTATAGAATTGAGATCAAGAGTTAATTGAAGCTTGACCACCATGGAAAACCTGGAAACACTGGACGGCTGTTTCATCCTATTGTGGAACTCCTCAATCGATTTAAGATCTCAACTATATAAAATTACTAAAATCTCCACAAAACCCCATTCTGATAATGAGCATGTGTTGACTAGTGACTGGCTCCATGAGGTATTTCTTGGAGTTCTAGTGAGAAGCAGTAACCAGTGGAGTTCAACCAGGTCTGTTGGGAGATATCAACTCACTGATGACATTAGTCAATGGTTGTTCGATTTCGTGGATTGATTGAAGTTAGACATTAACACCGTTGGATGCCTGCCAGCCCAGTGGTCTAGAGGTTAAGTGCTCTGGCGCGAGACTGGTAGGTCCTGGGTTCGAATCTCGTGGATGTGCACTGCTGAGGAGTCCCATAATAGGACGAAACGACTGTCCAGTGCTTCCATGTTTTCCATGGTGGTCTAGCTTCAATTAACTCTTGATCTAAACTCTATAGAGTTAGTTTGTCTTCTTTTTCACAACAATGGTGATAGAGGGAGACTATGTTTGTGTGCGTGTGTGTTTACTATTCAATAGCAACCCGTTGATTTGTTATAACAACAAACGTTTCTTAGATAAATAGGAATCTTTATGATAACTTTCACATTTTTCTGTTGTTTGACTAAATTAAATCGACTGTGATTTTATCATTTGTCGGAAATGACACTCAGTTAATGATGAACGATATCCTGTTTTTTATTCATCTCATTCTGGATTACATAACCTAATCATTTCTCTTTTGTGTTCTCTCTCTTCTTATTATTCGTAAACTGCTATACTTCTAACTAATCTACCTTCATTACTAATTTCAATGATGAGTCAATAAATGGAATTCATTAATTAACCATTGTTTCAATGTTTTAATTAATTTTTTTATTGTAATTTTTTCTGTTTTCATTTCTACAAGCTCTGTTTTTTAGTTAGGTGTTTCAGTTATTTGTACTAAAAAAAATAACGGATAAAGAGAAGTTAATATCGTTGAAACTTTCCATATTGCATTTCCCTTTCCTCTTTTTGTACTTAGAGAACTTTTCTGTTCACTTTTTACTTGTTTTTTTTTATTATGAATATTGAGTCAAATTCATCACATAGTCTCTTGTCTTTTGTTTAAATATAGATATTTTTCACATTTTTCCCTTTAAATTACAGTTCTCCTACACAACATAATCCTCCTCCTTCTACAATTGTTGATGATTCTGTTAGTCTATATTCAACAAATAGTTTACATCATTTTCTTGATGATACGAATGCGAATCGTGCTTTGAATTACAATTATGGTGATCGTTGTCAACAGCGTAATCAGTTGAAGGATTTACGTGCTTCTGTAGGTTTTTGTGTTACTTATTATTATTATTATCACAGATCAACGAGTTTTGATTAGTTATGTCCCTTATTTGTTTGGCTAAATAATGAGTTAAATACTGTTAGTGTTTGTCAAAATGATTTATTTGGATATAATTATGTGATAACTGCTAGTCTCATGGCTAACAATGTCGTTGAATTTACTAACAATCTAAACATTTTGAACAGTTCACTGTAGAATAATTAGTGTTTTGATCTAATTGTGATGCATAGAAGTGTAAAACAGAATAAATGTTATTGAATACTACGTATAGTTATATAATCCAAATATTAAATCTTCTACAGTTAAATCAATTATTTCGAACCATTTGTCATATTCTGTTTCGGTTCAAGCAACAAAGTATTTCATATGTAGCTGTCTTAGTAAACATGAAGTTAAACTAAGCACAAGAATACTTGTATTTGGCTACTATGTCTTATTTTTGTTTTTTTTATTTTTAATACGGCACACTGGTTTTTACCGTTTAATTTCAAACAATGAAATATTAAAAAGTAACATACATCTTATATGTGTTTATTCTTTTATATTCAACTACTCTTAAGTAATGACGATATTTGAGGGAAAGGAGTGTATACAATGTCACTAGATTAAACTGGATTGTTATGTGTACGGTTTCTTACTAGAACTTAACAACATTATATATTCATATTTGTGATACTTATTTTGTAGACGATCACAATATTTACTGGAAAAAAAATTTTTTTAAAAAGTTTCTAGTTCCTCCGTTGTTTTTTCTTTTTTTATATTCTTCACTAACTTAGGTGGATATAACTTCAAAGGCTTTATTGATGTCATCAAAATCATCATCAGGTTATCATGGTAAGTTTCTTTTATTCTTTTAAGCACTTTTTAAGAAAAATAAACACTGATTTACTGTGTAGATGTATGCAAATAAATAGATGCTTTGCATGCTTTTTTAATTGGTACATTGAATTCAAACACGAACACCATCTTAAGATCGATTGGTTAGAATCTAACCTTTAATATAAGGTTTCATTCTACACTAGAATTTTACAGTATTAAATTATACAGGTCTTCCTATACATTTATAAGTATAGGGCTGTGAAAATTAGGCCGTTTCATGACCTCAATGAAACGCATTAAGTTATACCACCCTTGACTACCTGGCAACACTGAAAGGCCATTTCGTCCTAGTATGTAACTACTTAGCAGTAAGCATTCACGACTCTTCATGCAAGTATCGAATCCAGAACCTTCCGTTCCGCGCACAAACACCCTTCCTCTAGACTACTGAACCGGAATCCGACAGTTTTAATGTCCAAATTTAGCCAATCCACAATATTGCGCATACATTTATAGTTCAGCAATTATTACTTATGCCTGTTACCCTCGTGAATGAACATAGGTCGCCCATCAGGTCTCCATCCAGCTCTGTCCTGGAAAATTCTTTCCGGTTTGCTATTCATCCTTTTCATGTACACTTCCAATTTTCGACGCAGTGTTCTTTGGTCTTTCTCTTTTTCCTTTCTCTTGAGCATTCCATGTTAGCGCTTGTCTTGTGATACAATGTATTTCCTATCCACTTCCAACGTGTTTTTCTAATTTCCACTTCATGTGGAAGTTCGTTTGTTCTCTCTCACAGTAGGATGTTTCTGATGGTATCCGACCAATAGATATTGAGTATCTTGTGTAGATAGTTGTTTACAAATACTTGTACCTTTATGATGATGGTCGTAATAGTTCTTCAAGTTTCAGCTACTTACAGTAGGACTGTGTTGACGTTCTTATTGAATATTCTCACTTTGATGTTGGTTGATAGAGAGTTGTTTTGAGTTCCATATGTTCATCGACTGTAGGAATGCTGTAGTAGCTTTGCCAATCCTTACCTTTACATCTGCATTATATCATTGGTAAATCGGTGATGTTACCCAGATATGTGGAGTTTCTCCATCAACCGGTAATATGATAACATTTGTACTATTTGGTACTACATAGCTTTATTAATATAAGGCACCACTCCATTCATGTAATTTAAACAAGATGGTTTCAAGTGCTGTTGACTGTGTGTGTGGTGATATATCACTTCCAGGGTGTCTACACCGTAGAAGTACGGTTTTTCTTGAAGTGTGGAAAGGAAACTGGATTGATGGTAGTCTTGTTGGCTTGTGAGGATATTCACAGTATTTAGGAGGTGGATTCTTGAGCCCAGTCCCTTGAAGCCTTTTTATACATAATTTTCAACTTTACTACCGGTTTCGGACATTTTTGTGGCGAAGTGAGGTTTTATTTTTAAGTTTGACCTTTTCTAACTCCTCTCTCCGTTGTGGCAAAGAAGTATTACTGGAGACATTGATTGTCTTTAAGAAATTTCTTACTGCCACTACATCTGTGTTCATCCGGCAGCATCACTTCTCTTTTAGACCTGACGTCTACTGTTTATTTTGTCTAATCGTTCTCTAACAGACATAATTTGATAGATACATGTGTTTCAACCAACATAGCTCGATTGAGTTATCACGATACACAATCCTGATAATGACATCAAGAAAACAAATGCGATTGGTTATATCTATATGTTGTATATTATAACAGTATAGAGTATACCGATATTTGTTGTTCAGCTACGCTACACACATTGACATTTATCGATAACTTCTTTAAAAAGATATTTCAGATGTCCCTGGTCTCGATTAGGTTTTTGTTGTGCGTATTGATTTTTGTTTGTAAAGAATTTTTTCTTAATAACTCAAATTAGCACACATTTTAATGCATGCTACATTCATCGTTTTATTAACATCATAATTCTATTTTGTCTCTCCGTTGTTGATAAATAGTATTGATCATTTGCTGTTTCGTTTTTGGCTCTCAAATGTTATTGTAGATATTAGGCCACTTCATTAATCAATGTGACAAGACAGTTAAATTAATTGTTTTTGTGCGTTTTTCGAATTTACGACAGATGAATTTATGCAGTACAGATTTAACTAAAACTGTATTTTGTACTCTTGTTTATATATAACAAAATATTTTTCAGTCTTCATATTGCACAAATGTCTGTAGTCTGAAGATACCAACCTGGATTGAGCGTGACATTCATGCTTTCCCTACCTCGGTTCTTACTGTTGCTTAGTATCATCAGGGTTTACACAGCATGCTTGTAACTGAAACCAGAGTATCTGATTGAAAAATATTATTATCGAGTTTCTATGGTTGCATGCCCCGTGATTTCATTCCCTGCTTTTTTCGTGTATTGCTTCATGTTACTAACTACGAACAATAAGTAGTTAGATTTATGTTCAATCATTTCTGCGCTTGTAGATCATCCTGTTTCAAAATTCTTTTTCCATTATCTTACTGTTGCACTGTGTTAGTCCATTTTCCCACATATAATTCCTTTGTATTTCGATTGTCGTTCAATTTTGTTACACAGAAAACTTTCAGTTACTTTCAAATATCTACATAACTTTTTATTACGATCTGATTTGTTCAATTAACATATCATTGTAGAAAGGAGCACTGAGTGATCTGTCTTGAAATCTTAATTATTTCTTCAATTACATATGATGTAGCTATGTATCTTATCCCAATTCATGGAATATTTTCTACTTTTACTTCGTATTCACTTAACTCAAAGACACATTTTCATTTTAGTGATGAAACTTTTTTAGCGCTGTAACAGATTATTTAAAATATGTAGACTCGTTATATTCATTTCATTTTCTGTGACGACATTATTTATTTGAGTAATTTTCAATTTTCCACTTGTGACCTAATCGTTGCATAATGACAATGTAATTCAATAGAGTAAGCGACTTTCTTCAATTGTCCAATATTGCAACTAATTTCAAGTTTAACATAAATTGAAATTGTAGTTATACTAAAATATTTTTCACAATAATTTTTTAAATATTCAATACCTACTAACTGTTAAAAATTACGGAAATTTTCTATCAGTTCAGTTGCTACAACAATTTTTCCGTCTTTCGTTTCTTCAGAAGATAGACAACTTTAGTGTCTACGTTTGAGTTTTCTGGTTGCTAGCATCACAGTGACATGGAGACCTTTTATGATAAAACATGTCTGCATCCGGTTAACATCCATAACTATTCAGTTCAAATAAATTCAAAACATACGTTAATTGTAATATTTGCACACTTAAAAAATAGAAGCATTTACCCACAGAAGACTAGAAGATGGCCATAGAATGTTGAGGATTAATTGAATTTGGTAATTAACACTATTTTACCCTAACTCACTGGTTTATAGGTTTGAATGCTATACCGCGTTCAGGATCGTGGATATCCTTTTCTGAGAAGTCCCATAGTAGAGCAAAACTGTCGTTCAGTGCTTCCAGGTTTTCAGCGATGGTCTAACATTAATCGGTTCATGATTTCAATAAAAAAAGATAGCCCAAATTTTTTTATCATATAACCTTTGCACCACTTATATATATATATATATATATATATATATTAAACTTTAGTCATTATTACTGCTTTTTTGCTATTCAGATTCGAAGAATCGTTTACTTGCTGTCAAAAAATATTCTTCGCAATATCTTACTAACACGCAAGAGACAAATTCTCGAATGAACAGTGAATCTGTGCCCAGGAGCTCAACACATAATCTAAACTCAACTTTGGTAAATCACAATGGGTTTTTTTCCACAATGATAAGAATATAAACAATAATAATCTTATTCATAATAATTAATTTTCTGTAGTCCGCGGTTATAAACATTTTAATGACTTCATCTATGTTTATTTATAATTAACTGTATAAGTATAGGTAAACTTAAGACTGCAAATGCTTCATGTCAACTTTCTTCTAACACTACTTCTTTGTTCTGTTTGATCTTCCAACATTTTTGCTTTATACCCTGTTGATATCCCATATCCCTTTTCTCTCCGGTTATGCTGATTCACAAAATGATAGCTTCGACTGATTTATTTTTTCCAAGTTTTACATTATCTGCAACTGTTTAGACCATATCGTGATGTAATGCAACAAACATGAAAATCACTGTAAATAGCATTTGCTTATTGATCATTATAAAAAAACTATTGGTCTTTCATCTCACAGTCGAATGTAGATGTCCATTCATCCCGTGTTTCATGTATCAACCTAAAAGTGCTCAATATGATTTGGAAAAATTTAAACTACAGTTTTTTCTTGTTTACTCATATATGTTTACTGTTCGAATTTTCTCTGTTTGAAACTCGTAAAAACGATTAAAAGGTAACTTCCATCGTTCCATCACTGAGGAATTATATAAAATCACAGAGCATTGGATAGCTGTTTTTTTAATACTACTTTTCAATAGTGTATCTTTTCAAACACATACATAGTCGAATATAATGTCTTTTGGTCCCTTCAGGAGTGCAAATTAGGCAGTGGATTGTATTTCTTGTCATTCGATTTCCCGAATTCAATTTACTTAGTCCTTAGTTTGCTAACTCATCCTCTGTATGAAATTTGTTGACCTTTTTCACTTGAAATAGATTAGTTGTGTTGATCCATGATTTTATGTAAGGAAAATGTATATACTACGTGGATCGGATTTCAAGTAATTACGTTTTTCTTTGTTTTTCATTTATTGATTAATTCTTAAAAGTTATCTATAGAGGATAAATTTTAGCATTCAATTAGTCTAAGTAGGCACACGTTGTATCATAGTTGAAAGTGAACTAATGCCGATTAAATAGTCAACCTGTCATGTCTACATGGAGCCTGGGATACATACGCGTCGGCCTATGTTGACATATCACATTAGTACGACAACATGAATAGAAAACAAATAGAAATAACAATATATCAGAAATGATAGTGGGAAAGGCTAAACATATGATTCGAAAAGACAGAATGAAAAGGTATCTATATAAGAATACTTGAACTGAAAATCTAGAAAAATATAAACGGTGAATGCATCTGGGACATTGTGTCATTTGCCTTCACCAACCACTAATCGAGGTTGTCGCGTAAACCAGATTTACTTTGTTCGATCAAGTGAAGTATTTATCCTTCATCAATAAACTCCAGACAAATTAATTAATATATATATAGATCTTATCCAAATCATTTTGTTATTAAAGTGGTTGTTGATTAGATTTGATTAGAACTTATGTATAAAATATGTCCGTGCAGATCAATATACAATCAAATATTTCTTAGTATTATGTCTTGTGTATTCTATTTAAGTGTTCAGTCATTTTGAATTCCATATACTAGGAACGGTTTCTCACAGTTCTAGTGAAAAAAGAACTTTGACACATCGATTATTATAGATTCATCCAGCTAACTGGTCCCATGTAAGATGACATGCACACCATGGATTTCACTGCGAGTTACGTATCAAATATACCAAAATCTGATATTTTTCTTCGTTACCTTTTTAAAAAAATTTTGGTGACAATATTGACTTTCTGTCTTATGACTTTTTTAAAATTTTAGTCTCAATTTCAACCAGACGATTTGGATTCATGTAGGTCAGCTGTCGAATCACTTCATGCTCTTCGTGTAGCCTTAGATTTGGCTATTAGTCGATTAGCTAAATTATCTTGTTATAATCATAAAAGTGAAGAACACACAAATCTATGTCAAATTGTTACTGAACAACTTGAATGGAGATTTTCACGTTTACGTGCTATGCTTGGTCTATCACCAGTTTGTGTTGAAGCACCAGTGGCTCGTGTATTAATTGCAGATATTGTAGAACGCTTAATTCCAGAGTTAAAATCAGCTTCTTCAATGCTAGACAGTGCAGACGCTTTAAACAGCAATACTAATATTGACAATGTAGATATTGATAATCCAGATAATCAAGTAAACATTGAAAATAAATCACAATTCCAAAAAGCAATGAATTTGTCCGATACTTCTGGATATAAGATGACCGAAATGAATGACAATTCAACTATCACCAATCATAAAACTGTGAATATTATTAATCGCGATGGTTATATTGACAATAATAATAATAAATCGAGGGATGGGAAAATGAGGAACGAAATTCATTATAAAGAACATGATGATGATAATGCTGATCGTGACGACAATGATGATATTCATGAAACATTTATACAAGAAAATAAGACTCTCGAAACTATCTGAAGAAAAAGTTACCATACTTCGGTCTTTCTGTACTTGTTTTTTTTCTGTTAATTTTGTATTTATTGTTTTTATTCGACGTTTTTTTTAATGAAATAACAACTCTATTAATGGTGTGTACATACTACTTATTTTTCATTTTATTATTGAATTCAATAAACTTTTCACTATTTGAATTTTTTTCTAATTATCAAATATTGGACAAACGGAAACAAACACTTTTTGAAATATAATATAGCAGATACTACTTATATGCATTTAGCGCCTTTTTTCAAAATCTTATTCAGCGTAATTTGTCAAGAGTGAATATAACTTGTTTTGGTGTGTAAGTATAGTGTTACCTATAATATCGCGTTTCATTGGATAACTGTTGATTGGCCATACTACTACGACTACTACTGATAATAATAATAAAATTCACAATCCTTTTACCTATTTATTGACATGTTCATGTACATATATATATATATATATATATATATATATATATATATATATGCGCACAATGTTACGCTTACTATTCTCTCAAATTGTCGTCAAAAAAAGCCTTTAATTTTCTTCCTGTAATACTCACTATGTTTATTCTTAGTTGTTATTTGGATGCATTTCATTGTGAATTGATAAAGTACATTATGTACACAGTGAACAAATAATCTTTATCTTTGCATGTTTACCAACTTACATCCGTCGGTTTAATCAACTAGACATAATGTTAAATATACCCTGCCATTATTTCTGTTTTGTATACATATATATATTTCTTTTATATTTTGTTTAGTTCTAAATCAATATTTTTATTTATTTATTTATTATCTCTTTTTAAAGAATTTTCTTTACCTAAACTTTCAACCTAACTGAATACTGTTGTGTATGTATATACTTAGTAACTTTTTTTCAGTACACTACCGTTTCGTATTTGTATCTGTGTATATGTGTAAGTTGACTATATGTATTTGCATATACATATTGAAACCTCCTTCGATTGCTTACTTTATCCACTCTTCTTTGTTTCTGATTTAATTACTTAATAATAACTATCTATTCATTGAAATTATTGGGGATTTATTTCTCAATGATGATTTGTAGAGAAAAAAACTTACTGATGTACACACATACATTAGTAATTTTATAATTATATTTTAAAAAGAAGAAAAAACGAATTATAATAGGAGATATGTGTTTTCTTTCATGAAAATCATAGTAATTATAATATATATAGAAACAATTTCTTCTATTTGAATATTACTAAGTGTGTAATCTTCGCCAACGTCCTGGATTTCTGGTAAGTCTTGTCGATTAAACGCTATATTCGGATCCTAAGGTAGTCTTGTACCCCTAGCTGTAAGCTAGAGCTACACAGCGACTTGAACACGAGAGAAAAGGCACAAAATATGCGGGAAGCAATTTACTCCAAATGTTCATTTATGTACAGAAAATAAAAAGGGTTTTTATAGTTTTTTAGAAGTCCTTTGGTTTTCCTGAAAATTCTAGAATACTACTAAACATAGTAGCAGTGTAGTAATCGGCCAATCAGAATCTCTACATGTGACTTTTCATTTTCGCAATATTTCTTCTCATCAAACGCTGATTGGACAAAATGCTTCATAATGTTTCCTGAGTTTGTCATGTCTATTGCAAGAAATTTTCAGGATCGCCCCAACAATTTCACCTAACACATATTACTATGATTATTGAGATGAACATTCTTGGAAACAAATTGTCAGACAGATACATTTGGTTATTTATTTATTTACCTGATTCATTTTATTTTCATAACTGAAATCATGAGTCGATCTAAGCTAAACCATTATTGAAAACCTTGAAGTACTGGACGGCAGTGTTCATCCACGATCTTGCACTCAAGACTCCAACATAAAATCTGGTACACCTGAGCACCAGAGATAGTATTCGAAGCGATATACATTACCGAGTTCAGTTAGAGGTTAAAATAACTCAGTAACTGAGTACACGCTTCATTTACTGGATTTTAGGTTACAAGTAATAATTAAAATAGTTAGAATCAGAGATTCAGCTATTCAAAGTTTGACATTTAAGCTATTAAAAGACTGTCCCAGTTTCTCATATGAAGTAATGATTTCAACACTAGTTATTTAGTTGAAGATTAGATGATCTAGACACAAAAGTACGTGAGTTTTGAACACCGATTTTGATTTGAGCTAGGTTAGTTTCATTTTAAAGCCAAATGCACAAAGCTGAAATCAATGAATGAGGTACCCTAAATCGGTTGGCTAGTCAGCCTGTTCAAACCATCTTTATTTGCTTGAATTTGTTTTTGCTCTGAGGGATTAAGTAGTACTGTTATATGGCTCATGGCCTGTTAACATATCACGAGATAATATAGACAGTTAGAGACACCGACTTATACGACCAGACCAATGACGCGTAAATCTGTATGAGCAGTCTAGAGTTCTTATTGGTTCTTTGAGATAGTAGTTTCTCGTCTAAACCAGCCGGTTCAGTTCAGAACGCAAATATCAGCCTCCGTTATGTGAATCATACATTTCTCTGGTCTATGTTGATTATGACTGACTTGGTATTAGTTTGATTTACAATTTCGTTATATAAATGCAGGCAATATCGAGGTATCAGTTCAGCAGGCTTACATTACAATAGGACCGATCAAATTAGAACTGAATATGATAAGGTTTATGAGTAGTTGACTTTAATTTATAACCTTAAGGATGAAAACCCTAAGAAATTCAAGTAAATCCATTTTACACTTTTAACAACTGTGATAAAATTAACAGTTTTCTCATTGCGTGTGTTCACATATCTATCTAACACGCCTATCAAACAAAAAATAAGAAAACTTATTTCACGATTACTGTATAATACGTTAGACAATATATTTCAAGCGACCTGGTCGTACACACTCACATTTGTCATAGTTGTATATGAGAAAGAAGCAAACCAAAGTAAAGATGAAAATAGGTTCAATTAAAAGGTACGACACAAGGTTAGAGTGATAATGAACATCGATTGTCCATACACTTTTACTAGAACAAAACTATAAAGATTTGAAGTAACGATATCAAGATATGACAAATTGGAGAATGTACACCGGTTACATATTAACTAGACATGATGGCAATCTAACTAATTAAGTTTTAGGATGTGATTTTGAAGGTAGTGTGTGACAAACCGATATCATTTTAAAAAATATTAAAAAACCAATGAGCGTTTGCGTCGTTTCGTACTAGTTTAAGATTCATTAGTAATGAGCATCTAGATTCAAATGGGAGCATTCAGAGACGAGTCATTCATACGTCGAAAGACTTGAACCTGCTATTGATTGAACGTATTTTATTGCCACAGTTGGAAAAGAAACTTCGTGCTTTACCATAAGCCATGGAATTATATGCTACTGTAAATAACGGTAGATATGTGTAAATGACTGTTAAAACAAATAAATGCCTATGGTCCAATGAGAGTGATGACAAATATTGACCCTGCACTATTGTCGAGCGTGTTAGCTGTAGATATCATTACCTATGATGATGCTTATATAATGGTGAATTAGAAAATGATAATCCATTAATCCGAAAGCTTAACGTTTTTTATATTCAGAAAAGCTACGCACAGAGCATCGAAGCCGAAAAACATATTAAATGCCACCGATAAGAAACCACACTCCAATGAGTATTATAAGTTACTATTCCCTATGTATATATATTATAAAGCTCCACCTATTTGGGCTCCTGGAGTGAGTTGATTCGTTATCAGAAATGGCTCGGTTTAGAAACTTGGAGGAATCCTGTTGTAATTTTCTTCGTCATTTTTTATATAAAAAGAGACTTTAATTCAAAGAAGTCCTAAATTGTATTTGTTTATAGAGTTGAGATCATGAGTCAATTGAAGCTAGACCATCATGGAAGCACTGGACGGCCGTTTCGTCCTATAATGGGACTCCTCAGCAGTGCACATCCACGATCCTGCACTCGCGAGATCCGAACCCAGTCTCACGCCAGAGCACTTAACCTCTAGACCACTGGGCCGGCCGGCATCCAACAGTGTTAATGTCTAACTTCAACCGATCCACGAAATTGAGCAACCATTCACCAGTGTCATCATTGAGTTGATATCTCCCAACAGACCTGGTTGAACTCCACTGGTTACTGCTTCTTACTATAACTCCAGGAAATACCGCATGGAGACAGTCACTTGTGAGCACATGATCATTATTAGGGGTTTGGTGGAGATTTTGGTAATTTTATAGAGTTGAGATCATGAGTCAGTTGTTGTATACTACTTTTCTCACTTAAGTCTTTGACTGCACTTCTCCATCGTTCTTCACTTCTTCACAATGTTATTCCCATCTGTGTGGCTCATACTTTATTTGTTGGCCAGTTGTACCAAAAATTATGTTTATTAAATAAAAAGTGTTAAGAATGTGTGAGATTTCAGATTGTTGTTTCAGCCTATCTGTTTCGTAAAATACTGCACATACACTAGTGTTTTTAATAAATAATTTTGTGGTTATATTATGAATTTAAAGACGAATAACAATTGATACTCAAGTATATTCATTATAATAACTAATTTATTTTTATTCGAAAGAAGAAAATTCTGCTTTACATACATGCTAAAGAAAATGAATTTAATCAAATAAACTATCAGTTAAAAGAAAGAGGGATAGACAAACAAACAAAAATAACCGAAAAAATGAGGTGTTTATGGAAAAGTCACATGAGAAAAGTAGTTGCCACCCTGACTTTAAGATATAAAAGCCATTTGTAATGAAATTTATCAGTAAAAAGAGTATTATGTGGTAAAAAAAACAACCATCTTCTACATTGTAATAACCTATATATATACGATAGGTTGATTAATTGCCTATTGGATGTTATGAGAAATTGATAGCTTTGCCACAGAATGCAGAGAGACAAGATTCACGCAAAGCTTCAGACACCGTCTAATCGAAAAGAAATAAAAACAGTTAAAACATTAATTGACTACATATTATAACTGCAGAAGTCAAATTGAGAATAATAATTAAAGCATTAGTGTTACTACTTGTTATGATTTTAGAACATTTGGGTCAAAGTATGAATAGATTAGAAAACAGTTTGAGTGAACATTTATTTATGATAACTTGTATGTTTTTGTTTACTTAACGTATCAAATGAAACAGCGATTAGAAATTTATGATCAAATTTATGCACCATCAAAAATATTTGTTCAATCTCATTCCCTAAACTGGGGTCATAATAATAGTTATTCATTGTTCCACTCAGATTGAATAGGAGTGGATACTAATGTCATGATTTCATCTTTATTATTTTTTACTTTTATTAGTGCTAATATTAGCTCTGATTTTAATTTGACTTTTTTTCGTGTATTTTAAATAGCTAACAACTATTCTACCATTTTAAGCAAAGATGGATAGTGACTAGCAGTGGAATCCAAGACGCGCGTTTTGTCCTATTTGGGACTCGTCAGCTGGATGTACCCGCATCTCAGAGTTCGTGTTCACTCTGGGACTCGAACCCAGTATCTTTCGCTTTAAAAGCCATGGCGTTATCCACTCGGCCACTGAGTCCTGATAGCCACTTGCTTGTGCGATGGGGTGAAGTTTAAATTCATTTAGTATAGTTTGTTTGAATCTTCCCATCGATGTGTTAGGACTGCAACTGGTCAGTCTCTAATTCTATCATTTTCTCACATATACGACAAAACTCATTCTTCACCATTCCACAAACACTTACAAGTCTTAATAAATTAATGATTATACTAAAAACGGGTGAACGATTCTAATCAAAACTATCATCGCCGTTATTATTCGTTAATTAATAAGCATGTACTTTAATTTTAATAACTATCACTGAAATAAATATTCTTATTTCCGACAACGGTGTTAAATTTGGGGATGTGGGATTTCCTTAGATATGTTAAGATGCCATAAATGATTTTCGGAAAACTGATCTCAGTCAAGTAGGGAAATTTAGATTCTTGAAATGTTACAAAATTAGTGTTAGGAGAACCATGGTGACAAAGCATTAAATAAATAGTATGTATGAACTCATTAATTCAAAGAATTGTCAGAAACGTTACGATATTTGCTATATACTCAAAACTACTGATTTTTTTAATTTAAATAATCTTACGGATTCCTAAAATATTCTTTAAATGACGTTTTGTTGACCCTGCTTTACTTACTGTCAAGGTGGAATAAGTCCCAAAGCCGTATTTACCACTGTTAAGATTGAAGTAGGGATGAGAAACTGTAAGTTATTTTAATGTACTTATAAAAAACAAATCCACTACTCACTAATTCATAGAATATTGATACTTTTTGGTTATTAAATTAAAGCGGTCATGTAAGGAAAAGACTGAGGAAAAGTGGTGCAACAGTAGGAAGATACGGCCAAGTATTCTAATATAAAACTAAAGGAAGTCGAACAAACGGGAATAAACATACTGAGACCTAATC